GAGCTGCACCACTCACTCGTGGACAAGACCAGTTGCCAGCCTTACGCGCAGCAAGGGCCGTGCTGAAGCAGCAGCTGAAAGAATCGACCAAAGAGATTCGCAAGGAGGCAGGTGCCACTCAAATTCTCATTCTTGTGGGGGACATGAGCCCTGAGCTTGCCAGGGTTGATGCATGTCAACAAACGTTGGCCATGTGACTGCATGCGCGCCTGTCAATATCTTTCTTGCCAGGTTCGCCGCAGATCTCGTCTCATGAAAAAAGCCCAAGGCTTAACGACGGGTGACCTGGCTTGGCTCATTGCTCGCCGTGCAGCTGAGTGAGGTTACAGCATTCATGCTTCCGAAAAGGATGCGGTTGAGCTGCAGCAGAAATCGTCCTCATTTTCTTCAAAAGCAGAAGGTGAGCTATGCGGATGCATACGCCGAAGGCGTTGAAGTCAACATCCTTGCGCCTGTTTGAAAAAAGCCGCTTATTGGGTCATCAAAGTGACTGTTTGGAAAGCCAAGGGCGACATGTCAGGGAGTGTTACGTTCGAAAATGTTGCAAGGAGAGACAAATGTGAATTCAATCAAGGCATCAGGTTCAAAGGTTCCCATGTTGAATCCTTCGCCAATCCCAATTTCATGTGCCGAAATCACTTTGGGTGTTTTATCTTTTGCGGCCTCTGGCAAAGTCAGAATTCTCATGGCCATGCGGTTTGAGCTGATCAAATGTTCCGCCCTTGCCATTTTACCCTTGGTGTGGAGAACAGATTTTGGAGCCAAATCCTATAGACACGGAGCAAAATAAAGTTAAAACATTTCAAAATACTGTTAGGAGCTTGTTGAGCAAATCCCATAGGCACGGAGCCAAATAAGGTTAAGACATTTCAAAATACTGTTAGGAGCTTGTTGGGCAAATCCTATAGGCACGGAGCAAAATAAGGTTAAGAAAGTCCACATAATAAGAAAATCAATAGAATCATCTAATTCTTTTGATTGTGAATTTCCAGGTTCTTAACCTTATTTGCTCCAATTCCATTAGGATTGCAGTCCGGAAGTCTTCCCTGTATTTTTCGAATCCTTAACCTTATTTGCTTCACTTACATTGGGATTGCACTCTGGAAGTCTTACCCTTATTTCGCCACCCCTTACCCTGATTGCTCCATTTACATTAGGATTGCACCACGCAAATTGACACTCACCTCCCGGAGCCTCATCCTTATCATCTCATCACACAATTTTCAGCATATTGCCGGATGTGGCGGCAGCTCGGCTGCTGGCGGCTGTGGCGGCTGTGGCGGCTGCTGCTGGCTATGGCGGCTGCTCGTGGATGCAGCGGCTGTGGCGGCTGCTGCTGGCTGTGGCGGTTGCTCGTGGATGCGGCGGCTGTGGTGGATGCGGCAGCTTGGTGGATGCGGGTTGCTATGGCAGAGGCCATCGGCTTCAGCGCCATCACCTGGAGGGAGGGTTCACATCATATTGGCACTTGTTGGCTAGATTTTCCTCCTAAGTTTGCAAGTAGATGAGATTTGGCATTGGGTTGTTGCGGCTGGCCGTGGCTAGGGCGCCTGCGTTTCTTTCGTTTGTGTCTTGTCCTCCTTGTGGTCTTTGTCCCTGTCTTCTTGTATCTCTCCCCTGTTTCTCCCCTCGTTTGTTTTCCTGCCATTGTCACCCTGTGCAGGTGCCTACAGCGACCTCGAGCTCTACACGCAGCGGCCCCTTGGCTTGCTTGTGGTTGCTGCTTGCTGCTACTGCTGCTGGTGTTGCTGCTGCTGTCGCTGTTGTTTGTTGCTGGCCTGGCTGCTTCTGCTGGTTGCTGCTGCTGCTGCCGGTTGCTGTTGCTTCTGGTGGCTGTTGCTGCTGTTGTCTTCCTGTCGCTGTTGTTCTTGCTGCTTGTGATTGTTCTTGCTGTTGGTGTCGTTGTTGGTGCTGCTGTTGCCCCTTTTTGGTACTCTTTCTCTCTTTCTCTTGCTTTCTTTCGCCTTGTTTCCCTCTCTTCTGCTTGCCCTCTCTCTCTCTCCCTGTCCTGCTCGTTGTCTTTGTGGCTGTTTGTCTTGTCTGTTCTCTCTTCCTTGTTCTCTCCGTCTCTGTCTGTCTCTGTCTGTCTCTGTCTCCATACTCTCTGACCTTGACCTCTACTCCCTAGCCCGGCCAGCACTATCACTTCTGACTGCGCCAGACTGAAGTGACAGAATCAGTTTGACTCAAAGTATGACTCGCAGTATGAATGCAGTATGAATCAATGAATGAGATAAGCAGGTAAGAAATGGCGGAATGATGGCGGAATATTTGATCTACTTGAGCTGAGCTATGGTATGGTATATCTTACACATTGTCCAGTTGCAGCCGCATTGTCAGCCGCAGTTTTTTTTTGAGCAGCCTTGTAGAAAACAGCCCAGGAGTCACAACCTATATGGTAATCGATCTAAAGGTCCTTGCAAAGAGTTTTAATTGCGAAGACCGTTCATGTTATGCTGGAAACCCGTGCGAAAGTTTTTTTTCGCATTCGCGAAAGTAACCTTTTCATCCGCGAAAGTTTCGCGAACGTTGGACATTGTCCTCATTCTGTCACGGGCTGCCACCCACTGCCGCCCGGGGTCTGGCAGGAGAAGGGCACCGGAGAATTTCGGTTTGGTTCTGGTTCAGTTGCCTGTGTGGTGGCTTCATAGGTAGCAGCCGAGCTTCCAAAGGTGAGGCTTCGCGACAGCCAAACACCATGGTCCTGAAGCACATCCTTGCACCTGCCGCTGTCACTGCCCCCTGATGTTTTTTGAAGTGTCAAGAAAGAAGCCCCACATGCAGCAGCCAAGTTTCCAAAAGGGAGGCTTTGCAAGAGCCAAACACCAAGGCCCCTGGTGTTCGCTTTTCCTAATTAAATGTTAAAGGAGCCGCTGTCACTGGTCCATCCGTTTTGCATGTTTCTCCCGACAACATAGAAAGTACCCAGCCCCATATAAAAACCCCTCGCCCCGAAATCAAAGTTGATTGTTTCATTGGACCTGGATCCGCGGCAGTGACGCTGTACTATATTTGGATGCCAGCAAGTCTCCAGTTTGCGAAAAACAACATTGATTTAGAGGGGCATGGGGGAGGATGATTGTATGACTTCTTTCCCTCTGCCTCTGATTGCATTTCATTGCCTTCGTTTCTGCCGGAGCTTTCTGCATATATCTCTCCGCCTTGTTGCTTCCATTTCTGCAGCTCAGGTTTGTGGCCCATCGCAGACACTCGTGGGGGACAGAAAAAGGGTCTGATTCGGCAGCATGAGCCAGTGTCGTACTTGTGGCCCCTCCTTGTATGTACAAAATGATATATATATATATATATGCAGGGTACGCAGTGAAGGAAGGCAAAAAGCATGCAGGCCCACAGCCCCAAAACCAAAGGAAGCAAGGATGCCCGTGCTGCGAGGTTGAACTTTGACTGCCACAAGCAATCCAAGACATGTGTACAGCCAGCAGCAGTGTACAGGACCCTGGGCGCAACCCCCGGCACCCCCAAACATCAAAGTTGACTTACTTCCGCACTCTGCAAAGAAGCTATACACCAGGAAAGGCAGCAAGACTGGCTTTTGTGAGTGGCAACGTTGATTCCTGGGGAGCGGGGCCATGTTTGCGTGCGCATATCCACATACATCACGCGGAAGCAGCGTTAAATTAGCAATTCGTATTTGCTTGGCCTCAAAACTACTAAGAATGTGCTCAAAAGCTACTAAGCACGGTGTCGCATTTCATACTGGCTTGGCCGCAAAGCTACTAAGAATGCGTTCAAAAGCTACTAAGGATCATTTCGCAATTCGTATTTGCTCGGCCGCAAAACTACTAAGAAAATGCCAAAGAATAAAAGAAATAGTATCTTCATCCCTGTTGGAATTCGAACCTCACCTGGGTGCTCAGTTCTATAGGGACTAAATCGCGAGGGATGATTTTCCCTATAATGCCAACACCGGATTAATAAACCCCCCCCCCTAGAAGGTAGGGGGGTACCTTCTGGCGAGTTTTCTTGACTACCCCTAAATAAACGGCCCTGAACCATAAAATTCTGAACCATAAAACTTTGGATATGGCTTACGTCAATTAGATCTTAATAGAATTCCATTGGATTTGTTAAAATCTCATGGATCAGAAAGGGGGTTGATTAATCAGGGGCAAACCGTGGTTATTATTAATGGGGGACATGGGCTCATGGGGGGTACCTTTTGGGAGCTATCCAAACTGATGATTTTCATAAAGATTTTAATTAGAAATCGATCATTTGGGGAATAGTTGTTTTTTGAAATTTTCAATGATCAACTTAAACCTTAAGTATAACAATGATGATGAAAAAAAGTAAAAAAGAATTGGAAATAAAAGGAATTGGACATAAAAATTGTTGGATAAAAAAAATGGATTTCAGAATTGGTGGTTGATTAATCGGGGGTAGGCCAAAGTGTTTATTAATCTGGGGGGACCACCTGTTTTTAAATTACATTTTTTTGGGGGGCAGTTGCTGTTGATTAATCGGGGGGGCATTATTAATCGTCACTTGGCATTAAAATGAAAACCCTGCCAAGTTAACAGCCCCCTGCCACTCCTATAAAATGAAAATCCAATAATAAGTGGGTTATATAACCATAGTTGTAGGGGTTATATTCCAACTATATTGAAGGGATTATCATTAATCCAATCCCGCTAATATTAAACACCCCCATTGTATGGTCCCAGATATCTGAAAAAATCCTCTAAGTAAGCCATGTTTTTTTTGGGTGGTCGATATTGGGGGAACACTGTGATTGAAACCCGAAACGTCATCGATGCTGCTTGGTTGATAGGGATTCCCATGATGGATGATAATGATTCGCCTTCCCCCGTTCATATTAAACACCCCAAGCACGAAACCATGGTGTTTTTTGTTGGGAATTTCCACATTCCATTGGGACCATGCAATTGGGGTGATTAATTTTTTAGGGTCATGGGATTACAACCAATCAACCGGAGTTCTGGTCATTTTCGTCACGGTCACTGCCCTGCCCAAGAGACTGTGCGGTGTCTGGTTGTCGAAGTGGAACAACAAATCCTGCAGATATCTCCAGCAGCAGTTCCATGGTCCCCAGTTGATCATACTTGTATCATCTGCACGTAAATATACGTAGCATCATGTAGCATCCATTTTTAAGATAGACCCTGCTTGGTGGTTCATCCCAGTTAGTAAGAGGGTTCGTTCACCCCAGTTATAAGTGAACTAAACCTACTTAGCCCATGTTTTTGAGCAGAAAGTCGTCTTCCAACCCCCCAGGACCTATGGCAGTCGTGCCTCTGCACATCGGAAGTCACCCTTCCGCAAGACCAGGAAATAGCCCTGGTCGCGGGAATTTCAGGCCCAAACCCCAAACGATGAGGGGATGCATGAGTTGCCGTTTTTCCAGATGTGGGGTGTTATCTTCTTGGAAGTACACCAGGCTTGGTTTTTGCTGATGCGCGCACAGTTTTGGCCTGTGCGGAAGCTAAGTTTGAGATAGGTTGCGGACGCAAACATACGCGCCATGGGGGCTTTATGCAAATCAACTTGGATTTGCCTGGGCGGCAGTGAAAAGGCAAAGGGAAAGAGGGCAGTGTCGCTGTCCATTGGCTTTCTGCCTGCATCCAGCCATTCGCAGGTCAACCGTTTTTTGTTTTAATGTTTTGCATTAAAAAACAATAAAAATATGTTCACATGAAATTGCAACATCTTCTATCTTCCTATCAAACAAATGAATTTTAGATTTGTAAACCTCCTATCGCTGGTCCTATCCTAATTCTTGTAGAGCAAAACATCAAACTATTGGGGCACCCAACAACTCAAACCCACGGGGAAGCGGGACACATCCACACAGGTGAAACATCCCAATCTTCAGCTCTTGAGTGGTGATGAAAACAGCAGCCGGACGAGTCACTCCGTCTACACAAACATTTCCAGTGGATATTTGCGACCACCAAGCTCTGGGAAAAAAGCAAGCTGAACAAGCTGGAAGAGCCCTGCACTTGGCTCTGATCTTTGGCTTTTCACATCAAAATCGTCTTCTCTGGAAAAACCACAATTCGGTGGTATGACCATCCAGGAACCTCGCTTAAAATGGCTTTCTTCAAAGATCAATCCCAAAGGTTTAAGTCATCATTTTCCCTGTTTGTACTGGCCTCAAATTGGGCGATTGGGTTACATATCCCCAGTATATTCCGCTATATCCCCCATGAATCTTCGGTGAACATTCACAAAAATACCGCTGTTGGAACAATCATCGATTCTATCAACTAGTGATTGCTTCAATCATGCAAAATCCCTAGTCTAGTACAGTATATTCCTATAGGTACCAATCAAACCAATTCAATCCCATTAAATCTCTATGAAGTCCCAATGAAGCTCTATAAACCCCCATTAAATCTGCATGACGCCCCAATCAATTTCGATAAGACCTGACTAGATCCCTAACATATTGCATGAACTCCCATTAATTGTGCATACTTGTTTACATATATAATCAATTTGGACCTCCTTAAAATCCCAATCCCATGAAAAATCCTCATAGTAAAATCCCAATCCCATTTAATCCTCATAGAATTCCGATGACATTCCCATGAAAATCACTAGGAATGTTCAATGACTTGCCAGCACCCACGTGGAAACTATCCACCCCAATAGCGCCTCGGTCAAAGGGACGTGATTCTTCGCCGGGAAGGTGGTTTTTTGCACATCCACCTGACGAAATGGACGGAGACAGATGTTTTGAGGTTTAGTTAGTTGTAAATCAAAACCAGATCTTATAAGATCTATTATCAATATCTTATACATGTGAAATTAGCTATAATACATGATCATGTCCATTACATGGTCATTGATATATTTGCATACCCGGATCTTCAGTGGACGTTCAAACATGTCTTGTTTAGATTTTTGTGCAGGGTCGCAGGGTCGCACAAAAAGATCCGGCCGGCCGAAAGGACCAGACATGTCACTGCAGGAAAATCATAGGTGCAAAATAGGTTCGACATAAAAAAAAAATCTAGAATCTATGATATGCACCACAAATCCAATCATTAGCATACTTTAAACCAACAGAAGCCTATGACAAACAACTCTCAATCTCCATTTTCGATGGTAAACTCCGTGCCGAGGGTCCTTCCATCTCCAGTCCCACGCCTGCACGAAACTCAACTCCGAATTGGTATTGGAGTTCTGCCGGTCTCGTGACACATGGAAGGTACCTCGAAAAATGCGGAACAAGTGATTGTAGCCCTATCAATTGGGACATAGAACCTCTAAAACTATGGGATATACTGGAAAAATACTGGGAATATATATATATATACATAATTGTATATATAAGGGATATCATGGGAATATCTCTCCTCATAACTATATGATCCAGGGAATATCACCGGGATCAGCCGCATACTTTTTGAGGATTGGGGTATGGATCCACAAGGACAAGGCCAAGAACAATTCCTGGTTGGTGGTGCAATAACCATCTGGAAAAATATGAGTTCGTCAATGGGAAGGATGACAACAATTATTATGGAAAATAAAACATGTTTGAAACCACCAACCAGTAATAAACATGGTATCCCTCGTAAGACATAGTGGTTTCACATGGTTTAACATGGTTTAACATGGTTTACGACAATCGAAAAATGCGAATACATCATGAGTGATCCATGGATTTCGGTTCCCCAGTTTGGAATCGCGAAGGTGACTGATTTCAGTAGCCGAATTCTATGGTTTGTGGAAGATATATTGAACTCGTTGATACGCCAACAAACAAAACTGGGGGGCACTACCCTGCAACCAACATAAATTGAGGATGCATATATGGAATGCCACATTTGCATACATGTGCTGCATATAGTGCAGGTATGTGAAGGTTGTGAGTTTTTCATCACTCATTTCATGAAGAGCGCCTGCAGCACTGCTAGCACAGTCACTGTGAGTTTCCTCAAAGTGCAATCCCCAAAACCGTGGGTTTTTACCAGTATATGGTGATTAAAATATATTAAAATCAAGCAAGTCACTATGATTGACTATGATTATCACCATATTATCACCATATACTGGTATATGCCATATAGTAAGTGCACCATAGTATGCCCACTTGGTTGACAATCAACCAAGAGGGCCTTGCTACAAGCAGTGGCTGAAAGCTCGTGTCGAGAACCACTACTTGGAGGATCATCCCACTTAAGAAGTGATTCATATTTAACATAGGTTAAGATATGCATAGAATAGTTATGTTTTTTTAATCATGGCAAATGTTTGCTAATATGTTCACAAAACCAAAAAACATGTTCTTTATGGCTATTTTCCATTTACAGCAAAGAACTAGAGGACTGTTTCCTGCCCATCCATTTGGTTATGATCATAATACAAATAAAATGACAAAAAACATGACAAAACACGATTAACCCTCAGAGTTTGCTGGCCAGATGATCATAATGATAATTTATAGATACCCTCTGGTAAACTAACAGTTTGCTGTGGAAAGTCACCATTTTATAGCTAGGTAAATGGTAAATCAACTATTTCACTATGGGCCACAAACTCATCCATTTTCCATGGCTATGTAAAAAAATACCAAAGTGCCAAAGAGTTTGGCTGGGCTATATATTTTCCATGGCTAACTCATCATATTTCATGCCCATTCAAAATATCCAGGGATTCTTATGATGATGAGATCCATATCATTTCTACATGGATTATTGTATGGATTATATGATTATATAAGTGATTATCATTCAAAATTACATTGTCCAGAAATCCAGGACCAGGCTCCCGGACGGCATCGCTCCACTCCATCAAGTCCTGAAGGCTCCGTTCAGTGTTTTGTGAAGTGGTCTGCCGCAGGTGGAAATGGGGACTGCACATGACTTAACTATCCATTGGGATTTTCATGGGATGTATAAATATATATGTATATATATATATGTATATGTATGATTCGTAGTTTTTAAATTTGTAGATTCAGCTCATTAATACAATTTATAGTTATCATTGTAGAGTCACAGATTCATAGTTCACAACATTAAACACATGTTAGAAGCAAATATTAAAGTCCCCCATTCCTGGGTTATCCCATTTGTATCTAAACCAAACCTGCAAACACTAACCACTTCCCAAGTCACAAATATGTTTCTGTGTGACTATATGAACATATACTTATACATACATACATATATATATTACATAATTATGTATATATATATATCTGTATAATTATGTACATATATTTTTACTTATACATGTATACATCCATTTAATCCCCGGAAACAAAATGAACATCCCCCCCAAAAAAAAACATTGCTGGTTTGATGACCCCACAACTAGCAGCAAGCGGGTAATCACCATTTTATAAGCCAGTTCTAGCTGGAATATCAGAAATGATATATTCACTGTAACAAAGTCAAACATAACAAGTATATTAACATACCGCACACCGTTATATCCCCATAACCTCTTCATATATCAAAGTAGGGCCCCCTAGATAGCTAAGTTGGTTTGTAACTCCAATAACTATGGTTTATGACACTTATAACATCTTGTAACTACAGTTATTGGGGGTTAAAAACCATCTTAGCTATCGTTTGGGGGCCCCATTTGTATCATGGTTTGATTCCCCAATGTTTGTTGGTTAGAAACCACGGTGAATCTTAGATATCTGTCAAAAAATCTAATTTTAGCGGGTGAATGTACATTTGACCATTGATAGCAACAGATTCAGTTGTACTACTGTGGATGGTTGTGAAATCCTGCACCACCTTGGATTCGGATGGTTGAAACCCTATAAATAAAGTTGATAGATGGTTTATCCCATTATTTATAGGGTTTCAACTAGTGCACCCTATCAATAATGGGATAAATCATGGCATCATGGGATGTTTACCATCAACTGGTGCAGGATTTCGCACCCATCCACAGTAGAAAGCATTTCTACCCAGTCGGTCGACCCGGACACCCATCAAATCACCGCGTTGACGTGTCGAACCGGCTCCTTTGAAGGAGAAAGCTTGGGATGTCACCCCAGCGCTGCGAAAGAAGAGTCTGACCGCGCTGCGAAAAAAAAAAACGTGGACAGGACATGTTTGAAGGATTTAAAAAAGGGAGATTTTGTGATAATTACTTTCTTTATATTCCTATTTATTCTTTTTTGGATAATGTGTTTCTTTTCAAACATGTGTCAATACTATTCACCTGATATATATATATATATATACGTAATATGTACATAAATATAAAAACAAGGATGCACTTGAGAAAACATGTTTGTTTGTTTTTTTTCGGATTTTGGAACTGGTTCAAGAAAAACACCAGTAAATCTATATGTAAAATCTCTCGTTTTTGCCGAGGTTTCCACGGCATCCAACTAGACACAACAGGGCAAGCCATGGTATAGATGGCCATTTATGCCCATAGAAATGGATGGTTTACCTATTAAAAATGGGTGGATTTTCCATGGCGAACTGTTAGTCATAACCAGATGGTAGTCACCATGCTATAAATCGATAAATGGGCCATCGATATATACCATGGCGAAGTGTTAGTTTGTCATAACCAGCTTGGGTATATTCTTCTGGCGAATCTCCGTTTTTTCTTCAGAAAATCTCTGGCAATCAGACGAGGCTTCTGAACGAGGCGGCCCATGTCTGAGATGATCATCCCATAGCTAATCAACAAGCTACCAATAATACCATAGCTAATACTGTAGTATCTGTAGTATCTTATACTACCATCATAATCCCTTGAATAATCAGCATGTTAGATCATTTTAGTATACATCACCACATGATAATCCAGGAAATACTCCCCATATTTTAGTATAACCCTCCTTCAGTTCATAGCTGTCATAGCCATTGTGAAGCCGCTTCGCCCTGCCTACTGAATCGCCGGATATCCCGGGCGGCCTCTCACGGTCATTGGGAGGATGCACCGGCACCAAATCGCCAGGCTCCATGTGGACAGACACCTACCAGCGCCGGTTTTGGGTTCTTGGTAGGGAGAAAAACATTATTATATCATGATTATAATAATGATATAATAATGATAGTATCATGAACTGGAACATGATTGTAAAAATGATATATCATGATTATAATGATGATTATAATATTATTTCATGATTATATCATAATAATTGATAGAAATATTCTCGAAACATTATGTAATGTTCAAGCTACTTCATGACTTAATAATGAAATGATACTATCATGAACTGGAACATGTCCCATGTACCAGACATACTTGGGAGAAAAACCCAAGTAGGTACACGTTTACATTTTGCGAACTGGAAAATTGCATTTGTTTTTTTCTATGTAAATCAACGAACTGTTCATGGGCCATTTTCAATAAATGGGACATACTTGGGATATAATTTGATATAAGCGATGACTTGAGATAATGGGATACAATGAGGATACAGTGGGGATTTCATACGATTTAAAGCAAGCACATCCCCATTGTAAGGGAATATTTGAAAGAATGAGGATTGCTTGAGGTAATATTTCATGGAATATCATGAGGATAGAAGCAATTCATACTCAGACTCTCACAAAGCTGAAAACTCCGCCAGTGAGGTGGATATACTCCTCATCAATGAATTTGGGTCCAAAAAACTATAGATCCACAGCCTCTGGTAAACTAGCTATTGAAGATGGCCATGAACAGTTCGTTGATTTACCTATAAAAAATGGTGATTGCGCATAGTTGTGGTAGTTTACCAGAGGGTAGATCAATAGACATTCGTGGTCTTTAGCGTATTCACATTGGTCATTGTAAAACCCATTGATCATTAATATAGCTAGCATTTACCATTGATTAAGCACCTATTCACAGCTAAAATATATAAAACATGCTAAAATCTAAAATCCCATCAATACTTCTGGATTCTCATGGATTATCATCATTTTCCCTATTTCAATGGCAATTTGGGTGGTTTTAACCAATGGTATACACCTCTCTTTCAGCCATGTATCCCAGGTCCACTGACTGGAGGGTATGAAAAAAATATCCGTCGCCCTTGTTTTTGTTGGTTATATACCACCATTATTGTTAGTTATATATTGTTCATAATGGTTAATATATGGTTATTCTATGGTTAATGATTGTTAATAAATATAGGGTTGATAAATATCTGCTTGGTGGTTTTAACCATCTAAAAACATATGAAAGTCCATGGGAAGGATGACATCCCATATATTATGGTAAATAAAAAAACATATTGAAACCACCAACCAGATATAGATGTCATTATTTAAAAACAAATACAGTCCTTCATTCCCAAGACAGCAAAACCCCTTCAGCTACTCAACATTCCTTGCTTTACCCCTGGTATTCAGGGACTACGACGTGCCTCCGATGGCAAGGTTACTAAATAATGTTTTATAACCTTTTATGACCAATATATCAATATAACCCGAGTGTATGGTAGATACAGCTCCTGATATATCGAACTCGTTCGTTTCCATAAGAAACACCAACTTATATACACACACTCACCATAGTTCTATGTTTAATCCTATTTTTACTATAGATCAACCATCCAAAATCATCAATTAGATATATGATGAGAAACATGTTTACTATAGATCACCATTTTTTTTTTCGGCTAGATCATTAGATCATACTAACATCTACTAACATGATTTTCCAATGGGGAAGCCCCTCATCGCCTCGTCCCGGCAAGGCGCCTCGGATCCTTCAAAGGCCAACTCGATGGGATCCTCCAACTCAGACCTAACGACGCCGGGAGGACCCGCGAATTAAGGGGGGGAATGCTCGATCCAAACTTTGTACATAAATATATATATATATATGTATATATATATATGAACACATGGGATTAAAACAGTTACAGATTGGAGTAACTATGTTGATGATAACTATCCCATATGCGAACCATGGTGCTGGTATATAAAAACCTACAAAAGTGGGTGATTTTGTTCGGGCAAATGTTGGCAAATGTTGGTAAATATTCCATACATGGAGCATATGGGATATAGTGTGTGTGTATATATATATATGCAGTATATATATATATGCAGTATATATATATATATGCAGTATATATATATATATAACATGAAAGTGTTTAGCCCAAGGAAAATTGGGACTGCAACAACTTCAAGGCAAAACAACGATGTGGATCTGATTATGTGCATCTCGCTTTGCAATTAAGAACGAATTAGTCTATAATAAGGATACTCTTTACACGCCTGGCTTGACCAACCATGGCTATCAAACCGTTTATAACTGGCACACCCAAGTTGATGAAAACATCAACAAGTGGATTTCCTTCACAAAACCTTGGAATATGAACCACACAAAATGCAGGTCTTTTAGTTTTTTCAACCAGAAAAACAAGATAGTACGCTACTTCACAAAAAGTGGTCTCACAGCAAAAACCTGCAGATTCTTTGAACTGTTTGGTGGTATACCTACCCCTCTGAAAAATATGAAAGTCAGTTGAGGCTATTATTCCCAATATATGGAACAATAATCCAAATGTTCAAAACCACCAACCAGTGAATCATGATGAAACGGTGAAAAACCTCCAGGAATCGATGGTTAGTTCACCCCAAAATCATTGGAGAAAGGGTCCTATATGATTTCCCACAAGTTCCTATATGATTTCCCAGAAATTCATATATGTCATATTGTTGTCCCAAAAATTTCCATGGGTTTTCCCTATATTTGGAGATATATTTGATGATTTTCCATGGTTTTCCCATGGATTTTCCATGATTTTCCATGATTTTCCATGATTTTCCCATGATTTTCCATGTTTTTCCATGGTTTTCCAGTGATTTTTCTTCCACTCAGCTCCCAGGCTTAACGAAGAAACGCGGGAAGAGACTCAACACCTTCGTTCGCCTCAACGGAGCGGCGGCCGTCCTGGCTTCGGTAGGCGCTGTCGGACGTGGAGATTCCGAATTGGCAAAGACAATGGGGATGTAGATGCCTACAATATATATATATGTAATGTCAAAACCACCAACCAGGTATAGAGGTAATATATCAACTATATCAACTATATATGTAATGTCAACCCCGGATTAATAAACCATGGTCTATTAATTAGGGGGGTACTCCTCCAATGGTCATAATCTGATACTTAAATGGTACCCCCCCAATTAACCAGCCTAAGGGTTTATTAATCCAGGGTTGACATTATATGGTTAGATAATAATATATGTAGATGTCTATGGTTATGTATGTATACATGGTTAGAATGGGATGTAATTACATGTAATGATAGTTGATATATTACAGTTTATATAGTTGATATAGTTGATATATTACCTCTATACCTGGTTGGTGGTTGAGCCACCCCTCTGAAAAAAAATGAGTTCGTCAGTTGGGATGATGACATTCCCAACTGAATGGAAAAATAAAAATCATGTTCCAAACCACCAACCAGATACATGTAATTACATGTATATGGTCAGAATTTGAACTGTTCAAATGTGATCATATGTGTGTAAATATGTTACCTATAAAATACGATATACAATTGTAGTTAAAAACGCGTGTGTGTGTGTGTACATATATATATAGGTAAATGTGTATACATAAATACTATACAGTAACTAAAAAGAACAAAAACATAGTATATTATTATATATGATTGTGTGATGGTGTATGTATATGTATACATGGCTTTAAATATTAATGGCAAATGCCTGGGCTTGGCCCGGAACGGCAACGTTGCCAAGGCTTGCCGTTCGATAGGTATCATCATCCAAATCAGTAAGCCTTCCAAGCAAAGACGATAGGATCCTTCGTGATCATTTTTATGACGTCTTGCCTTCAAATTCACACGTGACCTTAATGACCATAGAAATAGTGGATTTCCCTATTAAACATGGTGATTTTCTATAGTTTTTTGTATGTTTACGCAAGGCTTGACCTTGTGTCAATTCAGAAAGCCACAACCCACGTCGAAGCAATCGTGTGGACCATGTGCCGAAGCTGCCATGACCTGAATATTCCTCTGAGGAGGTTGCCAGGATCTTGTTGATCTTCCCAAAGCGTTTATATAATATACCCCGCAACTAACAATTATATTATCATGCATATAATTATACACCATTATTAACCATTAGCAACCATTTCAATCCCATGTTTTTTTAAACCCAAAACCGACCATTCTCTGCTCCTCACACACGTGCCAAAGCTCAAGCTGTCAACCACCAAACCTCCACAAAGGAGCGACGGCGTCAGGGGACTGGAAGGAGCATCCCTCTGAATAAGTGGTTACTAACCATTAGTATTTACCTAATATCAATGGATTGGTTTGTTTGGGAAATTTTACAGGAAAGCCCCATATGTCATAGGAAAATCGATAGTTTCCTGTAAATTTTCCCTTAAACCAATCCAGTGATAATAGTATTTATCTAACATTAGTAATTGGTTAATGCTACCCTCTGGCAAACCAACAGTTTGCAAACTGGAAAATTACCATTTGTTCATAGATAAATCAACAAACTGTCCATGGCCATGGCTTCAATAGCAAACTGTTAAGTTGTCTAGTTTACCAGAGGCTATTAGCCTTACAGCTATAGTTGGCTCAAGCTACTTGGAGGAGTATGCGGGAAATCGTAACTTGTTCATGTTGTTTGTTCATAACTTCTGTGGGCATTTTTAAATCACATCCATAGTTATAACTATAGCTAGTTCAACCATTATATGTGATAACTATGACTATATAATACTATATATAACCATAGTTAGTCACTACATTTGGTACTTGGAGGTACTTGGTAACTTATATTCCATACAAGTAGCTACTTCACTGATTCACCCATTTGTGGATGGGATAACTTCACATGTTGCTACGAGGTACATATTCCCGCAGCATGTAGAAGAACAGCTAAGGTGTTGCTTGTCTGTTCTGTTGAAAACTTCTCTGAAGATCTTCCAGGATGTTCCGAACACCATGCGAAACCAAAATCCGACGATGTTCAGCCTCTTTTTGGAGGTGTTCCCCTAATTTGGCTATGGGTCAAAACCCTGGTACCTAGTAAACCCCAAAATAGCGGGTACAGTAAATTGATGTTCATCTCACTAAAATTGATACTAATAGGTTTTAACCCCCCCCAAATATCTGCAAAGGGGTTATTAACCACCAAAGAAAGTGCCAACTTACAGTGCCATATTGGGCCCCAATCAGCTTCTTCAAGGGGAGGCCGGTGCATTCTATGGTAAAAAAATGTAGTTTTTTTGAAGGAAAAAAAGAACTAGCTACTGGATGTTAATGGATGTTAATAGTTTTTTTTGAATGAATATAAATCATATATATATATATTATATCCAACCAACGATTCCGTATCTAGGTGATAATTACCTTCAACACAATTGTAGAGATATGAGCCATAACCCTCACAGTATATATATATATATATACATACGTTGAAAACCGTTGCAAGTTCTAGCGCGTTCAATGATGTCCTTTTGCGAGAAATAAAGGGTCCGTCTTGACCATTTCATGCCTACAGTTGAAATCTCCAAAGTCTGGTACACTCTCTAAGGCATCTTGGAATTAAAATTTGCCTCAATCACGTCATTGTGGCCAAAGCCAAAATGCACTTAGGAATATGGAATTCACGTGGCTAAAAACTCGCGCCGCCAGAAAATACACCTTCTTCCGTGCGCATTTTTGGTCTCCAGGCACGGCATATTTAATGCACATGTCCCCATGTGTATTTTTTGTGTTTTGACGTTGTGTATGTTTGAATATTTTTTGGTGCATTTACCATGCAATTTGTGCTTCAAAGTGTGTGTTTTTTTACGCGTTTGGCACCTGTGTCTCGCCCAGGCGTATTTTTTTTATGCCTTGAACTTGGGCACCTGTGTCTTGTGCAGGTGTATATATTTTACACGCGTATGGAAATCGGACTTGTACGTTTACTGCGGGTGTATTTCTTACCCGCGCATTGTGCATTTTTTTTGGAACGCGCATTTTTGGACTGCACCTGTGGAAGCAAAAATAACAGTTTTAAGCTGCAAGTGTATTTTGGCTACTAAGAACAAATTTTCCTGATTTTTGGCTACTAAGACCAAATTTTCCTGAAACATCTTTTTCACTGCTAATTATATGTTTTCCTAAGGTCAAGCGTACTTCTTCGTATGTTTTAAGAAAGTTAGTTTTTTCTACCTGGTTTGGAGTTTTCACGCAGTAGCCGTAGCCAGCCCCACAAAAATAGTAATCGACCAGTCGGTAAGGCGGATATTGCATGATCAACCTTAGATACCCTCTGGTTATGTCAAAATAGCTATTGATTATTAAAAATGGCCATAGAAATAGTTGATTTACCCACTAAAAATGGTGATTTTCCATAGTTACGTTAGTTTACCAGAGGGTACCCTGCAACAGATAGTGAATTGTTATTATGGTTTAGTCTTTTGTGCATGTGTTTAGTATATCTTCGAAAAATGCAAAGCATTGAAAAAGGGTTAGTCAGTTGTAACCACGACTGAACACCAGTGATGTTCACGACATTCGCTGCATCATCTTGTCATGGCAGCCGTGGCACCCTGGCTACGAATGGGAAGTTTTGGAAGCGCCTCGCAAGACTGGGATCCGATGTTGCGAAATACGCGGCGACACCTGGGCAGATGATCCACCAGTCGACTGGGATCCGGTGATATTGAATACAAGCAAAGAATCTAGCATAGACCCCATAAACATTCATAAATCATAGAATTCACCAATATATATAATATGACTTAGTAGATCTTATTACAATAAAATACAACTACTATGACATGATATCCACCATGGTCACCAGTCCGCCACTCAGCACCAAGTGAATGCCTCAGCTTGAAAATATCCAATGCATGGCCATTTATAGTATAGCATATTGGAGAATGAAACTAGCCATCCACTTGCTTGGGGATGTGAATATGATGTGAATATCATTACACCACATATTTTTGGACAAAGCCACAGATTTTGTGTCCATGGTAATTATCCACCATACAAAAACAACACTAGAATATCGCCTTGACCCATCACTTTTTTTGGTGCTCCAAAAAAAGGCCCTACGCCCATCCAATTCAACAGTGACAGTGACTGGGAGATTCCCGTCAGCAGTATAACATGGTATGACATACTCTCACCATAACATTAACTTATCTGGTTGGTGGTTTCAAACCCTCTGAAAAATGATGGACTTCGTCAGTTGGGATGATTTTTCCATTCCCAACTAAAAGCCATGTTCCAAACCACCAACCAGCCATTATTACTAGGGAAAATGGTTTTCCCATGTTCCAGTCACCACCAACCAGTTAAGCATAGGAAAACCGGTCACAACCCACGCCTGCGGGGTCTGTTCAAAGACCATGACACTCTCCAAAGGGATGGGAGGGTTCCTGGGAGATCTGGGACGCAAAAGATGTGGGGTACAGATTTCATGGGACATAAATGAGATATGAATGGGAATAAATGTAATACATATATAGGTATATATTGTATATATATAATGATGTGTATATATATACATATAATTCTTTGAAAGGGCAGATGAAATACATCATATTATATGATGATCTCACCCGAAAATGAACAAAATGAGTTTCACTATTGGGTTTACTACATTAATGGAATTTAGTGACTCAAAGTCCTTGACCTATTTCGCCGCCGCTCAAGACGCTCAGGGTTTCCCAAAAAAACCTATAACGAGTGTCAAAGTAGCAACGGGCATATCATCGATCATTTGGATATTCGCTCGGGTGCCACAATTCGCCTGTCTTCAGTAGTTAATCATCCATTTTGGGTCAACAAGTAACATGAAAACTGAGCCATAGCATGCATCATCGACAATGGGCAATATCTCCCGTCCTTAGACTCCGTGTGTTGCGCAACAGGCACAGCCTCCAACGCAGCATTTTTCCTGCTCGACAGACTCTAGAAGTGGCTGGCCAAAAAACAGCTCGCTCAGAACAGTGGCAGCACACCCACCAGTTGCACTTACACCTACCTTGCCATAGGAAACCATAGGAAAACCATAGGAAAACAAAGCTGAACAGTGGATGATAGGTCGGTGTTAAATAATTCTTAGATAACCTAACAAATTCTTTCTAAGAAGCTCATGAGAATAGGTTGAAACGTGTTGAAACTATCCAATGATTTTCATGGAACGGCGGACTGACCCCTCTGTACCACCGTGCCACCCCCACCCAGAGATATGGAGGGTCACACCAGGCTAGAGACGTCGCATTGGAACATATTGGAGCCGGGGGCTGATGACGTCGCACTGTTCTGGGCGTTGACCAGATTGGGTGCCTTCAAACCAACAGTTTCATGCCGCTCTGCCATCTACAGGTAGATCTGGAGACTACTTTTTGCCAAACTATGGGGAAACTTCCGGTGGCTCTTTGGTTCCCCATCTTTAAAAGGGAAGAACTAGTCAGATCATGCCAGCTCTAACGACTGGATAGCAAATACCATATGATTGTCATTTGATTGCTCTTTTGGGCACATTGACTTACCAGTTTGACAGGTTACAACGGGCCGTTTCAATGATTTAACTTTGAAGTTGGATTGCAGTTGTGACACCCTGCAACGAACTATTCATTTCACCTAGTGAACTCATAGATAAGCCTGAACATATATGATGATGTATTGCAAATAAACATATACAGAAAGGATCAGAAAGGTTCCCAAAACGATATGAATGTGTTTCCAGGATGTTGTAGATGTTGGTACCCTTATAATTGCTGAACTTCCAACTTTTCTAGTTTTTCTAGTTTCTACAGGGGCATGTTCAAGTCTGTAGAGGCAATGAGCAGAGCATGGATTTTTTTTCAGAAGATGCATCGCCTAAAACTACGGGTAAGGATCCATGTCCCATGTCACTATCTTAAACATCAGCCATCAAGAAAACCGCATCTCTAACAACCATGGCTAAAATTTGGGACATGCACCCATCCGTGCGGCACTGACCAAAGTCAGCATGACAAAATGCCACTGGAGGTGGAAAATCAGCACAGGGGGGTGAACGCGAAGCCCAAGGTTCAATCGACGAAGCGGGTGGGACCCTCCACAGGGTGGGACCCCCGTGTGCAAACGGTTGTTTGTCGGTTTGCGACTCATTTGGTGAATCCAACAAACAAAACTACGGGGCCCAGTTTTTTACCAACACCACATATGGATATAGCGCCACCAAGTGACAGGATCCAACACCCCAAACACCAGGGGGGGATTGGGTATCTATACAAAGGAACAAAAACAGTCAGAATCACAAGGGTGTTCCCTCTTGTGGCCATGATTTAACTGTGATGAGTTGGAGCAACCCTGGTTGTTGTTGTTGTTGTTGATGATGATGATTCTGATGCTGCTGTTGTTGTTGCTGCTGTTGTTGTTAGTCAAACCACCATGATTGGTGGCAAAACCGTCCAACCTCCCATGTGTTTGTTGTTTAAACCACCATGTTTGCTGTTTTCTTGATGCGTCCAAACTCCCCGTGCCGCGTGTCACTTCCAGAGCGGATGCCAACCCATTTTTGGGTGGATCCAGTCATAACCTGGCGCGTGGCGTAGCCGTGGGAAGCAGCCGGTGTGACACGAAAGAAACCCTATGATAGCTATATCGTGTCTATTTATTTTAGATAGATATAGATAACCCGAAATCATGTCAAATGGCAATACTGTCGATGACTTGGCTTGTGTATAAATATATATATATACATATATACATAGATGTTTACATATATATATACGATTAAATACATGTATATATATATATATACATACGGTATATGTCCGAATCCATATTTTTGTTGGGTTTCTGGGAATCACAATATTTGATAAGATTTGTCGTCGTCGTCGTCGTCGCCGTCGTCGTCGTCGTCGTCGTCCTCGTTGTTGCTGTTGTTGTTGTTGCTGTTGTTGTTGCTGTTGTTGTTGTTGGTGTTGTTGTTTGCCATCGGTTTGCGCCGCTTCTCATATCCGATACTTGACCCACTGGCTTTTGCGCTGAACACTTTTTACACGCAGAACCTCTCTAAATATGGCATTTCCCAAAAACTTTCTAAATATAATGGCCTTTTCCAAGAACCCTGGTTACACATATGCTTTGGTTTAAATTCAAACCGTGGTTTCAACAAAACCAATGTTTTTGCTTCAAAACCGTCTTTTCCACAAAGACCTATTTTACACAAAAACCGTGTTATACACAAACACAATGTTTTACACAAAAGCCATGTTCTTGCTGGGCCTGTGCAAGGGCTGTTTGCGGCTTGCAGGATAGCGCTTTCCATGGTGGCCGGCGGAACACGCCGAAGGCGGTTAAATATGGATTAAAGTTTCCAGAAATGGGGGTACCCCAATAGCTAGATGGTTTCGAAACCGCAAATCCGAGAATAAAATGGATGATTTGGAGGTACCCCCATAACTTAGGAAACACCCATATGTTTAAGTTTTTGAGAATCTAGATATATCATGGTATATCTAAATTAGATGCAAAAAATGATGAGGCTGTCATTTTTGTTTGATCACAAAGAAATGAGTTCAATCAAAAAATAGTTATCTAATGCAGAAAAATAGCTTGATCATTTGAACAACTTATATACTAAGACGTAATTTGGGCATGATTCGCGTGTTGAAGTCCTAAGGTGTTTGAATCCAAAGAATACACCAGGAGAATGAAATCCTTGCCGGGGGTGTTCCCCATATTCCCCATCAATGATTGATAATGATTACATATAATGATTATTAATGATTGATTGATATAGTTCCATTAAGTTTCATTGTTAGTAATCAATTATGGTTGGGACCGGCTGGGATAATACGCAAAGCTCCAGTTTAATGACCGGTGTAGTAGAACCTCAAATTACCTCAATCATCAACCACCCTTCGTGCATGGATATTCAAATCCTTGCTTTGGAAGGTTAATGTCAAGGTCGTCCCCAATACCCTACATAAAAAGGGATGTAAAATTGCAAAATAGCCCTCCTTATGCCTGTAATCTATATATATATAGTAATCACCTATCATGGGTCGGAGCAACCCTGAAGTAATTTGGTTTCATATGCTTCTTTGGTTCCATCGCAATATTTCACTAACCCCCCCATCAAATCTGGCTGAATGATTGGCTAATTCACCAAACTGAAAATAGTTGAAACTTGCAAACATTTGGGAGCGATCCCCCATATCAACAATGATTCATCCAGAGCAAATTCAACTAAATCCCCATTGAAAAAACCAGCTTTGAGCACGAAATCATTCTTCCACCATGATATCGCAATTTTATATTTGATTCAAACATTGATGATATTTGATTCGCAATATATATATATATTTATTTATTTGTTTACATTTTAAGCATATCCTCTAACAGTAACTTTTTATCCAAAAATAACCCTTCAACATACACCTTAAGGGTAACAAAAATAACCCTTCAACACCTGCTAAGGGTAATAAAAATGACACTTAAAATGCACCTTAAGGGTAATAAGAAAAACAAACTCTTAAACAATATGATAAGGGTAGTAGAAAATGATCATAAAATTTACACACCGCATATGTGTAGGGTCATGTAATGAATATGAAAATATCCTTTAACATCCTTGAACATAATTATGATCCATTTTGACACCGCCACCAGCTCACCAAAAACACGTCCCCAGAATATTGTACATTTAATCAACATGAGCCCAAATTTGCCCCCAAAATATTACCCTTGGCTCACCAAAATATTACCATTAGTTCCCGGGGTTAAGGGTAATATTTTGGAGGTCTAAACTTCGGGAATTTTGCATATTAGCTTGCAGAAACCCAAAAATTACCCTTAAAAATTACTCCCGGAGTTAAGGGTAATATTTTGGGAGTTGGTGGTGACGACATTTTGGGGTCATTTTTCTGATGAACTGTCTGGTCAAAAAATTGCCAATTTGGACAACATTAGGAGTCGGAGATCCCAACCGTATGCCTGTCGAATCCTGTCGAGGCAGTACGGGATGATTTCTGTGCACGCGTCGGGCGAATCCGTTTCTTTGTCTGTTTAATGAATGTCCCCCCCTCCTAACAAACTTCCGCGGAGGCGTAGATCCACCCGTTGGGGTGGGGCCACGCCTGCATCGTAGTGATGTGGTCACAAAGGAATAGATAGATATAGATAGTATCTGTTGCCCCGTGCCTCCTCATCCGACAGAACGTCTTCCGTGTCGGATGGGATTGCTGGGACTGCTTGCAGGAGCCCCAACATGAGAAGCTGGTCTACTAAGGCTACACGCCTCCGTTGACTGATCGTTGGAGGAGATCTCCGACTCCGACTCCGACTCAGTGTCCGTCCTCCATCTTTCCTTGGACCTCAGCGATTTGATCTCTCTTGAAACCACAATTTTGAGAAACGTATTGCTTTTGAAGCTCTTACGTTCTTTTTCTTTCTGAGCGTCGAACGCAACTATTTAAGCCAAGCGAAGACGGAAAGGCAAGTTTACTTGATCTTCAAGGTGCTAGCAGAAGCAGTCGGTGTTCAAAGAAATGGATGCCATGATTTTTAAGATGACACATTTGCAGATGCGGCTCCAACATGCTTTCGGCGACTCTGTTGCATGCAACGGTTTAGGTAGTTGATCCTCATGTTGTGTTTGTCGGTCGTTGTCCCTCATGGGACGACGCGGAGTTCTTGGCTTCGCCCCTTGCCATGAAAGCTTTCTGTTGAATTCTCCCTGGTCGGTCACCGAGCAACTACCAAGCCGTGCTGAGTCGCTTGCCGCCCAGCTTTGAAGGTCGTTGCTTCAAACCTCAATTCGATCGTGCCTCGATGCCTTGATCTGAGGCAGGAAGGGAACAGTGAAATATGACTACGCATATGTACAGGCGTCGCCTGTGCTCGATTCTTTACTTTACGGTGCTTCATCCTAGGTGGGCGAGGTTGGTCTTCCCTTCGCCATCTTTTTTCGACCAGGTTCCGTGGAGACCCTTTCCACTAGCCTGACCGTGTTGAGGCCCAATGATGTCTTTGCATCCGACTCTTGTGGGTCCTTGTCAATTTCTTAAACCTTTCCATCGCATCCAGCAGAGGCTCTGTACACGCGCGTGCCGTGATTCTTCGAAGCAGAAGCAACACGCGCTGCACACTTGCTTGCTGTTTGCCTCTGTTACGACATTCTTTTCGAGGTTCATCTTCCCTTCGCCATCTTCCATTGTGACCCAATGATGTCTTTGCATCCGGTTCTTTTCCTCTTTCTTGTTTAGCTCCCTTCTTCTATTAGGCAAGCAGCTGAGAACTGTACCAAAGCGAATGTGCAACCGGTGTATGTTTAACATTTTGCCGGTGCACGGACGCAGGTGAGATAGCTGTACATTTGTACATCTTTGTCCTCAAAGACCACCATCATGCCGTAGAGCTTGTCGCCCACCACTGATTGCCTTCTCGAAGGCGGTCAGCGCCATCAGCGATTGCCTTACCTTGGTCGCGCATGCAGTAGACATGTCTTCGATGCTATTTAAGTTGCATCACGCGACCGCCACCATGAGATTCGAACTTTCAGCAGTGGTTGTATTGTAAATATGTATGTATGTATGTATGTATGTACGTACGTATGTATGTATGTATGTATGTATATATGTATGTATGTATGTATGTATGTTTGTATGTATGTATGTATGTATGTATGTATTTATGATATTTATGTAATTATGTATGTATGTATGTATGTAAGTAAGTAAGTAAGTACGTAAGTATGTATTTATGTATGTATGTATGTATGTATGTATGCATGTATTTATGTATGTATGTATGGATGGATGGGTGTATGTATGTGTGTACCTATGTATGTATGTATGTATGTATGTATGCATGCATGCATGCATGAATGTAATTATGCATGTATGTATGCATGCATGCATGCATGCAAGCATGCATGCATGTATGTGCGTGTGTGCATATGTATGTGTACGTGTGTATGTACGAATGTATGCACTTGCATGAGCACCTATGTAAACAAAAGGCATGTATATGTGTGTTTGTGCATGTAATTAATTTTGTTGATGAATATGTTATGTTGGTGTATGTGCCCGTACTAATGTGTGCAGGCAGGTATCTTAATCTTCTCCAGCAGAGCATCAATCAGCTTGATGAAGAAATTGATGTTGCATACCTTCAATTGCATCTATTGGGAGCCTTGAACACAAGACACGCCTGTATTGTCTACGCTGCGCGTTCATATCCATGTTCACATCCATTCATATTCATGACACGAAAGCTAGCCTCAACTAGTCGGAGTTACTCTTGCTATAGCAAGGAATTGGATGGCAGGTCGGTTTCATGCGCAGTTTTCAAGTCACGGATCTCTGGTTTATTTGTGGTGTTCGATTGGTTTTTGAGTCACTGGTTGGCTTTGAGCCAATCTTGGCATGAGTTGGCGTACGGTCAGATGTTAATACACTAATATAAACGCTAATAAACGCTAATATACGCTAATAAACGCTAATATACGCTAATAAACGCTAATACCCTTGATGATACTTGACAGAAGGCTCCCATAACTTGCAACCAAACATACCTTAGAGCAGCTTGCATTGTCTTTGCTATCCAGTGGCGCAGGTCTTGGTCCAGAACGTTTGTCCATCATGTCTACTGGCATCCTCTCCAACTTTTGCTACCCCTTTAGTCAAAACATCAGATGTTGAAAAAATAATTTGCGTGATTGATGCTGACGACAGGCTTTGAAGACAACATTCTGTGGCCACACCCGTTTGTCGCATCTGTCCTCACGTCATCAGGTCCTATCTTTTCAGAATCTACTTTGCCTTGACCTTTTCGGTTGTGGCCGGGGCATCTCAAACACGGTTGTTTCCTCAACAGGGGGGTATCAAACAAACAATTGCCAAACACAATGTGCCAAAATTTTGTTGCGCCAGGTTACGGCCACAAACCCCGAAAGCGCCAAAGGCGCAAAGGAAGATTCTGAAACAGTATTATGCTCACACTTTTTGAAAACGTACCTCTACTATACCCCCGGAAACGGACAAAAAGAACATGTACTTATATAGTGAATTTTCCGTTTTTCAATGGTTTTTGCTTCAGAAACGGTGCGCGGGAGGTATTTCGGCAAGTCGGCCGGTTGACAAAACACAAGCGCGGCGCTATCAAAACCAAACCGGCGCAAAGTCTGAATATCCCAGACCCTTGCTTCCCAATCCGGGCGTGTCACCGCAAACCCACCTTCCGTCCCTTTCACTCCCGTCTCTCTTCGGTCGACGGAAGGGACGGAAGGTGATAGGAAGTGAAGGGAACGACAAGGATAATTTTTTTAAGGTGTTACAATCGGTTCCCTGCTTTCATTTCTCGTGCCTTTCGTTCATTGGCAATAAATTTATTATCCTTGTCACTTATGGTCCCTTCTCGTCTCGCAATCACTCTCAGTTCGTACCTCACCCTCGTAACCACTTCCAAGCCTCGTCCCTTCCTCGTGTGGCCCGTCTCTTATCCGCCGGAGGCGGGGGCCACACGGGACGAGGTGAGGAAGTGTGGAGAGTGGAGGAAGAATGACGGAACGGTGAGAGACAGTGAGACGGGTGTGAAGTGAGAAGGGTCCACATTCTTCAGTCCGTACTTCCTCAACCAGACCCGCACGGTCTCATTTTCACCGGAAGACCTAGGCTGGCATGCGTGCTCAAGGTGTTGAATTGAACCAGCACAAATTGGCACCAGCAGAGGTTTGCGTGCGCATTTCAAAACCAATGCTTGCTTAAACAGCAACTAAACAAAGCATAACAAAGCAAGTTGTGGTTGAAACAGACCTTCTTCGCTTTCTTGCCTTCTTGCATTACAAGCAAATCGCGTGCCAGCATGGTTGGTTTCTCCGCTGGCACGTGAACGCTTCTCTGCTCGCACGCCCCGGAAAAATGTATTGAACAGTTGTTTGAACCAATTTGAACCAAGCATACTTCCAAACAAATCCAAAAAATACACCTTGAGCAGATGTCACTTTAATGGTTATTTAGAGATATTTTAAGGGAAGTATGTGCGATATTTTAAGGGTATTTTTTTGATTATTTAAGGGAAACATTTAGAATATTTAAGGGTAATATATCTTAGGGTATTTTTTGGGTAATGTTTGGGATATTTCAGGGTAATTTTTGAATTGTGTAAGGGTAATATGTGCGATAATTAATGGTAATTTTTGGTAATGGAATCATACCCTTATATCTCTACATACCTCCTAAATAAAGAGGTCTAGTTACTTTTAGAAGCAACCCCTAATCTATATATATATTTATATATATATATATATTATTCTCACCAACCTGAATCACCAGTGGTCACCTCTTCCCATCACCCGGACCTCCTCCGTCTATGCAACGATCTGCGGAGCATGCGGAGCATGCTCCGTGGAGCGGAGCGCTTGGGTCAGGGTCGTTTGAAGATCATTTTGTAGGGAACCTATATGTCATGGTTCGATGCCAACCTGCCAACCTCGAAAATGTGATGCTTCAAGGCCACCCCCATTTCTGACATATCAAAAACCCACAACGTTTATCCCATATTGTTGATGCTCGACACCCAAAAACTTCTCATGTTTGCAATGTCTTGATGGTTAAAACAACTGGGATGTGAATCTAGTACGAACCTTACCAGGCCCATGTTCTGATGTAAATATGTTGGGCGATTTTGGGTGTGAATATCTATATATATATATATCCCCATACTTATTAGTGTTTGCTTTCTGACCCAATTTCGGGTTCGTCCTTTTCATGTGAAAGATTACCAGCGCTTAAGGAACACCACCAAAGATAAGACATACTCCCTATAAATTCTCTAATTAGTGTACTTCCCTATAGAACTTACTTTCTTCGAGTGATCCCTACCCTGACAAACTATTCTGACATAGTTTCTGACATACCATCTGGAAGTATATGGCACATATATTCTGACATTCTTTCTGGCGTATGCTCTGACATTCTATCTGACATTCTCAAATCTGATATTCTGTCTGTCATTCAATCTGGCATCTATTCCAACATACTTTCTGGCATCTTTTCCGGCAATTTTTTTGGCATTCTACCCTCTGGTAAACCAACGTAACTATGGAAAATCGCCATTTTTAATGGGTAAATCCACTATAAATGGCCATTTTCAATAGCTATGTTAGTTTACCAGAGGGTATCTGGCATTCTATCATTCTTTCTGACATTCTTTGTGAGATTCTACCTGGCCTGGCTGGCATTGTCTCTGGCATGACTTCGGGTCCCCTACTCCACGGCTTCCGCTCGCGATATGGCCAACAAATCGAAATATTCTCCCCAATATGATCCCTATTAGACCATAGAAAAATATATGCGAACCATTTATCTAATAGGTTTATATATGTTTGACCAGGTTATATAGACCATAATAACCATATAACTATTATAGCCATATAACTATTAGATCATATTAGACTATATTAGACCATATAGTAACCATTCTTTATCCGTATTATAACCTCGGTTTTCCCCACATGTTTTTGCTGCAGAGCCGCGTCCCACATCCCGTCCTGCACTGCCAATGCGAAAGTCAACGCGACTGCGAGGCTCCCCGGCTGGACGTTGTTGGAGATGGATGAGTCTTCTGAGCGTCGGGCTATGCTGGCTATGCTGGTGATGGTGGAGCCATGGGCACAGCGTCAGCCCGTTCTTCGTTGACCATGTTGGACGCTGAAATCACTGTAATTAAAAATACAGTATTTGAAATCACTGTAATTAAAAATATTATATCCAAAAATCAACTTATATCACTGTACCGGTGGGTTAATTCTTACTTAGTGGCTCGTCCCACTTAGTAGGCAGGTTATATCACTGGAAAAAAGAAACAAAGGAATGAATAAGTAGGGCTAATCCACTTATAACTGGGTTAATTTGCCACTTGACTAGCATGGTCAATCGTTGGTAGTCCACAAGCAAAAATGTCATCGTTTGCTGATGGTTTTCTAGCCATTTATAGTGGATTAAACGACAGGATCTTTGACTAGCCATCCAAGATTGGTGGAACATGTCAGCAACATCTGGATGGAAAATGATGGAAAATGATGCCTAATCTTACAACATGTGGAACATAAAGAAGGGAAAACAACAAAGGCACGGTTTTAACTCTCCATTTGTCCATCACTTTTCCATGGCTTCTGGGGAAAGTTCATCCCATCTCCAATTAGGAGTCAGAATGCCATTCATGCCATTCGCTAATCCAACGTGGCTAGTTATGGAAAAATCGCCATTGTTTTCAACAAAAAAAGGTACAACATCTACAAATAGATCAAATAGGCCATGTTCATCTAATTTCCATGGCTATGTGAGTTTACCAGAGGGTATTATCCTCTATCCAGGGCTGTTTTGATGAAACCAGACTCTCCCAACTTGACACTGATCTATGCCCGTGGCGAAATGCTCGCACTTGCAGGTCTGAGATGAAAGATCAGTGAAACCAGAGAGCAACTTCAACCATTCATATGTGGTTAATACATGTTAATACTATATATTCATATGTGGTTAATGCTCTATCAATATTTTGTTAATGATATAAATACGTGGTAAATAGTATTAACATGTGGTTTTAAAATAGATAGTTGGAACAACATCTCTTCTCGATGTTCTTGATGTTCTCTGTGTGTTCCCAGCCTGTGTCAATTGTTGTTCATGTTGTTGGCCAATGTGTGTATATATATATGTATATATACATATAATTAGTACACTATACCATAAAATATCACCATAAAAAATGGTTGGTTCTATATCCCACTGACTGTATTCCCCTGAATTGCTAAATCAAAAACGTATATACTGGACCATCTATCCCCCAACATACAGTTATCAAACCACTGATGTTCCCATGATACATAATTCCCATTCAGAATTTCATGCTACTGAGAGGATCATCCCGCTGAGGAATTGGTTAAACATACAAAAAGCTATTGAAAACGGCCATGAACAGTTTGTTGGTTTACCAAGAAAAAAATGGTGATTTTCTATAGTTATGTTAGCTTACCAACTGGGTTACAACTGGGTACCCTAAGCAGCTACGCTTCGCGGGATTATCCTCTGAGTTTTTTGTCGCCCGTCATAGGGTTTCTGTTCCAACGCCAGCCGTGAATTAACAACCCACTGGATCCCAGGGATTACCCTCCGGTAAACTTACAAAAAGCTATTGAAAATGACCATTTATAGTGGATTTTCCCCTTGAAAACGGTGATTTTTCATAGTTTTGTGACAGTTTACCAGAGGTAATTCATACGATTGGGGGGTTACCGCCATTCCGTAGAGGCACTCCATCTGGTGGATTAGTCCACCTCTACAAGTGGGCTAAGCCTACCAACCCTCCTTGTGGGTTATAACTCACTTGCTCCTGTGAACCGCCAAGTAGTATCAGTAACTAACCATTACCCTCTGGTAAACTAACATAACTATAGAAAATCACCATTTTCAATGGGAAAATCAACTATAAATGGCCATTTCCAATAGCTATGTTAGTTTACCAGAGGGTATTGTATATCCCCATTTAATATCCCCAATATACCATCATTGTTCTTCGTTGACCATGTTGCCCTGTTTGACGCTGAAATCACCACATGTAACCACATATCCAAAAAACCTTATGTTGTTACTTGGTGGCTCGTCCCACTTAGTAGGTAGGTTATATCCCTGGAACAAAAATGGAATTAATAAGTAAGGTTAATCCACTTATAATCTGGTTATAATAATGTTACAATCCACTGACTAACATGGTCAATCTTTGGTAGTCCATAATATATCTATGTGTATATATATATATATATGTGTATATATATATACATGCAATACCATGCCATACCATACCATACCATTGCATTACATTGCATAACATTACATTACACTACATTACATTTCATTACATTACATTACATATATATGTACATATATATATTATATGAAGGTTTCCGGAAACATGGGTACTCTCCAAGCCATTGCTTGTGCCATTGACCAATGAGTTGGATGATGGTAAATTTGGGGTAGCCCTATTTTAGGAAACCTCCAAATATGTGGCAAAATATACATTTTTTAAACAAAAAAAAATATTTTATCCAAATTTAGATCATCCCATATTCAATTTATTCAATTGGGCATAGGGTAACCCATATGATAGTGCGTTTGAATATAACCCATATATCCAAATAAACAACCAGATTTTTGCAAATGAAACAGTTTGACCACATTTTCTATACAACCAGATTGTTTCAATTAAACCCATACATCCATTTAACATCATTTAACATGTTTATTCACCGAGATTGCGACACTTCAAACTTTTGGTCAAGCTGCGACCGACGCTAGTAGAGGTGACTTCAGGGAGGGGTTGAATGGATGACACCTGAGGCCACGGGTTCCTGGTGGCTTAACACCTGGCCCTTGGTGGTTTATTTAATGGGGATCTAAACACCGTCCTTGGTTTTTAGATGTTTTAAAGCATCAAACATATGGGATATAAAGGTATATAATTAATGAATGATGAATGGTTGATAATTAGTTTGGGGGTCCTACGGTCCTACTATCCAATATATTGAGGATTATCATAGTCTATGAACTGGAATCCCCCTTCTTAACATTTCTTGACAAACCAGTATTGGACACGCACTGAGAAGTGTTAAAAAACCATGGTGACCGTCCTCATCTAGTGATAAATCACCTTAAATCACCCGTAAATGGGATTGACATACCCCATAAGACAGCCATAAACCACCATAAGCACAGAGATAGTTAAGTCCAAAGCTAGCTAAGTGCGTCTAGTTGTTGTTTATTAGTTAGTCGGGTTTTGACATTAAGTATAGAACTATGTAACTATATCATTCCGGAGCTTCCAGTCAAAGTATGTGTTTCCAAAACGACCAGCAGTAGTCCAGCATCCACTTGGTGGTTCACCAATTGAAGATTAGTTCGCCCCAGTTAGTTCACTAGGGTAAGTATCAAAGAGAAATAGCTTACTTATTTCACTCGGATCCTGACATCGTTGTGAGTCAGTTATGCGTGTGTGTGAAAATGGGGGTTACCAAGTACCATGAAAACACATTATTTGGGGAAAACTGAAAATAATCCTTTTGATTTTGGGAGATCCATTTTTAGACAAACTCTTGCTGTAGACGACTGTGATGAGAAACGGGGTACGTAAACTCAATTAGCAAATTAGCATCCAGGTCCCACAAGAGCCGCACAGGTCTCTTGAACGTCAAGTGAAGTTGGCTACAAGAACCAGAAGTCCGGTCCGAGGGCCAGCAGTGGGTTGGCAAAAAGGGTTCAGAATCGTGTCACTGCTGCATGGGTTGCATTTGCGCGGTTGAAGAGGGATCGCACCACCTGGCTCATTCGCAGCAACCCAATTATCAAGCTCAGGCTGTGCCCCATGCAATGGTGACCAAGGCGGCAGTAATCGCTGTTCCGGCAGGATGCAATGCACCCCCGTTCCATTGTCCAATCAGGACCTCGTGCCAGAAATTGCCAGCCTGGATACGGGTTTCATCGTCAAGAGGACAGTTGTTAGCGGTCATAGGCGCCACCAAAGGACCGTTCAGGCGCACCCAAGCTTGCCCACACACTATGACCATTTGGATGACGACATTCACAATGTCGGCCCCTGCCCTTCCCAACATGTTTGCGAGGAGGTCGGCAGCCTCAGCCGTCAGCTGCTGTCGCCTGGTCCTTCGGAGCGCGGCCACGAAGTTGGCGAAGGCTGGTGGGCATGCCAACGCTGTAGTGACCAGCTCCGAAGACAAGAGACGGGACTGTGCATGCAGCCTTGCACAGTACTCTCGGCAGGACGCCAGCATTGTTCCAACTTGTGGAGTGGCGTTGTCCATGGTGCAGATTGGTGGAAGATCCATGTTCAGTTCGTCCCGGTTCTTTGTCTGGTTCATGTAGGAGAAAGCAGTGAACCAGTTGGCCGAACTGTGCTCCCGCAAGAAATTCCGCGCAATGCTCACGGCCGCCTGAGAGAGCTCACAATTCTGTGAAGGCCCCGTGGCGTTTGGGGACTCGCGTCGGGTCAAGTTGTTGGCCAAAAGCTGCCCAGTGAGCAATAAGAACTCAGAAAAAAAAAGGTGCAGCAGCCGAAACTAGGATACCAAAAAGGAGGTCCACTCACTCAGGGCCCAGGGGCAATGGAAAATTCCCCATTTATCTGGGCAAATTATAATAGTTCACTAACCTCCACTTCTCTTGCGGACCCCAGCCATACTCCGGCAATCTCCGGCAGATTCCAGTGAGATCGCAGTGAGGTCGTTATAATTTACCCAGATTTATCGATGGTTTTTCAATTCAAATGCACATTTACAGGAGATCTTCCGTTGCCACGGTTGATTTCTGGAGGATGTGCGTTGCTTAGTTCATCTGACATCTCCACCGCCACCAAGCACCACATCAGTGCGAAAAAGAGACGTCCACTCCCATAGCTGTCAGGGCCTGTCGTTAGGGCTTGGTGGCTTTGAAACTGTCCCAATGAGCTTAGTAAAAGAAGCACAATGAATGATTTCATGAATAGAAACAGTAAATAGTAACAAAATGATTGGGACAGCACAATTTCATGAATAGAAACAGTAAATAAATAGATACTGCAAATAAATAGATATCCCAGTTGATCCAAAATCCTACAGTGATTTGATACTGGGGCCTTACTTGGTGGCGCATCCCAGTTAGTAGGTGATGGCCCAGGTACAAGTAGATTAATTAAGATTAGTCAAGTTATTAAGATTAGGTGAACTAACCCAGCCTGGGAAGAGCCACCAGCCGTAGGTTAGCTATGGTTTGTGGTAGACATATCCATGTCGTCAATGGGGTTTACAAAGCAACCTCAATAACTATGGGATATAACTCTCAGGTGGTTGGGAAACTCTATTTGTAGCTCCAACTGGCTCCCCAGTTCAAGTCGGGAATATGGATATCCAATGGCTCCTTAGTTCCCTCCTAACCAGCAACTAGACATGATATTCTGCAATTTATTCATAACTAGTACATATATCATGCATTTTTCATGATAGAGTGGAATAAGTGATATGAGTATAACCCCATATCATCATGCAATTAACAACCACTCAACAGGCTTTTGAATGCTGCTCTAACGGAGAATTATCCCCAAATGGCTTTTCATGATAGCAGCTATTTTCAGCTGCGTGAATTAGCCAATAATTCAGCCTGTATATGCCTATGATATTCCATTATCCAGTAAATAAACCCTCTTAAAATTTGTTAAATCCCATTAAATCCCATTAAACAAAATAAAATCCCATAAGCATCCCATTGAATGGCCATGTGTTTAAGGATATCCATATTTTTTTTGATCGAGGTTTACCATTTAAAAAAAATCAGCAAGTTCAACATCCCGCCTGCTGCCCTGCGGTGGATCGCAAATCCCCACTCTGCACGCAGGTGCTGGCTGGCACAACCTGTCTGCAGGGATCTTTTTTCGGAACACCCGGTGATCTTTGACATGGAAACTAACAGTTTATTCGATGATATATATATATATATATTGTTATATGATTAATAGATGATGGTGGTTATGATGAATATATCAATAATGTCCTTTTGGTAAAAATAGAGGGGCCGGGAGCTGGTATACCCTCTATCATCATAGAAACCTGTTGTTAAAGGGGTTTCTTCAAACCCCTCTATTAATCAACCAACCAATGGGAAAAGGACATCGATGGATTTACCCTTCAGTAATCTGACAGAACTATGGAACAATCAATCAGCATTTTTAATAGGATCATTCAACTGAATCGGGGGCAATGTTCAAGATGTTTCCCAGAGGGTACCCTCCAGTAAACGTTTACATAGCTATGGATCATGGCCCATAGAAATAGATGGTTTACCTAGCTATAAAATGGCTGGATTTTCCAGTTCGTTTTTTTTTAAACGTTTACCAGGCCGGGTTATCCTTAAAAATCTTACGCGACTGGTGACTGGAGACATTTCTCGGATTTCACCAGGCAGAGTTGCAGTGCCAGGCTAAGCGCCATGGCGAGTCGTGCTGCAGATTACTCTGGGAAAACATGGCAGGTTGTATCACTGGGAAAAAAACACCAAGGAATTCATAAGTAGGGCATAACTGACTTATAACTGACTTATAACTGGGTTCATTTGCCACTTGACTAACATGGTCAATCTTTGGTAGTCCACAAAATGTTCATTGTTCATGTCATCTTTTGCTGGTTGGCTGGTTATTGAACCCTGTTGCTGATGTTGAGAACGAAAAACATTCCATTCTATCCCATTCATCTTCCATTATTTTCCAATTCATATTCCATAATAGAATGTATATTCCATTCTATTCCCATTTGTATCCATTCATATTCCATGAAAATGATATGTCCATTAATAAATAATCCTACTGAGACGAAGGTGTGGAGACCTGCTTTCCTCACGGCCAGAAGGTAAACGGATGTTGATTCTTCGAGTTGGTGATTTCATAACTTGACCCATCTCCATCCATCTCCATATACCCTCTGGTAAACATACGAAAAACTATGGAAAAACACCAGATTTTAGGGGTGAATCAACTATATAAATCAACTATAAATGCCCATTCATATACCATCTTAGGGGTGAATCTCCATATACCATCTGGTAAATGTTCACATAGCTATAGAAAATCACCTTGTTTAAATGAGTAAATCAGCTATTTCTATGAGCCATCATTTTCCATAGCAAACTGTGAGATTTTACCATTTTGGGTTGATGATCTGGAAACTGCTAGGTGAATACCTTGGTAAAGGTTCAGCCCAGGCAGGATTCCTATGACTATCACGGGATTAGGATTAGGACTTCGCAACCATCCCGTCTACGGTCTCTACAGTACCATCTGATGATTTAACATAGCGAACTGGAGAAATCCCATCGATCAATGGAGGTTTTGTTCGCTGGGAAAATCATCTGTTTCTATGGGCGAATCTATACCATAGCTATGTAACAAATAACCAGAGGGTATCTTCGTTAAACTCGGAACACGACAAGTGGCAGGCTCAAAGAAGAATTGCGGACTCAAGTCAGCCCCTTCACAGTACCTCAGCAGCTGCTACTTCTGTTGGGTTTACCATATGTGCCATGGTCAAAACATGCCACACCGGTTATGGCCGTCCATGCCTTTTTTGAAATCTGCACACCATGGGTTTATAGTTACATATATATATATATCTATCTATCCCCATCATCGTATGTATATATACATATATATTAATTGTGTATATATATATATACAATCGATTCATTTATGTATATATATATATATTCCAATGAAATTGATACATTTGAATACTTTTGAATACTTTTGACATGTTTGGACCATCCAACAAAAAAAAACTGGGCAGGTTTTAGTCGCTGAACATGGTCATTGTGGGTACCCTCTGGTAAACGTTTACATAATTCATGGGAAAATCATCATTTTTCATGCGAAAATTCACGAACTAAATGGTAAAACAATGCCATGAATAGTGACTCATAGTGATTATAATAGTGATTCTAATAGTGCTTAATAGTGATCAATGCCTGATTCATGTGGGTAAAACAATGTCATGCTTACCATCCCCCAGTCATCACCATTTTTATTGTTTGTATAAACCATTCCCAGTCATAGGTGGTAAAAAATGGCACTGTTTTACCCACATGACATCTGTTTTGGCTAGTATCCAAATCCGTGCTGAGAAGGTACTTGGATCCATAGGGATTATTTAAGTATATATATAATTTTATATATACACATACATATACAACTTATAACTTATATCACCTGGGGTCCATTCAGAAGACAGTCATGGAAAATCTACCTTTTAACTCCAAATTTGCCTGGAATCCCACTCTTCGAGTGGTCTTCCGAACTTCGTTCTTGGCGGTTTAAAAATGTTGGTTTTTGACAGGGGTGAACATAGAACAACCTTGAAAAATACCAAATTCATGTTTAAATTTGGCAGGTCAAATTCAAACATTCCTCCAGTGGAAGAAATATACAAACATATGAAAAGTGTTTTATTGCCAATGCTTACTTTTCATCATGTAATTCATGTAATTACATTTACCATTAATAAAAATAGTGTTTAAATACCATTAGTTTCCAATGACCATCAATTACCAGTGTTTATATATATATAGATATATCACCAGGGGTATATTTTAGATTATATGTAACTGGGGGATATTTTAGTCACTGCACCTTGCTATTCAAAACCGCCTCAGCTTTTGGGTGAATTCCCCCAGTTCGCAAGTTCCATCATTGGATGGAACATCTACAGGAAAACCCCTTTTTTTCCTGTATTTGGTGGTAAAAATAATGCTTTCCTATGGAAAAAAACATGGTTTTCCCTTCAGTCATCCATTGACGACTGGATTTGCTGATTCCCCAGGATTTTGGTGGATTTTCCGTTGGGAAACTCCACCAAATCACCGACGAAACTTTGAGCCAGGTAGAAAAAAAACCTCTGCCCAGGTGCATCATATTGGAGCCAAAGTAGATGGCACGATTCATCCTCTGTGCTGGGTAGTACCTAAGGGGCGAATCGCGCTAGTGTTCACATTCCATAAAGGGACCATACTGACTATGGGTGTTTGATTTATCTAGGGGGATGGGATTACCATGTATATCAGGATATAGATCTAGAATCAACATATAAGGAGAATATGCCAATTGTTTGAAAGATAATTGGAAACATACCATATCTGATATGATATTAGATATGAGTTGATAAATCCAATCTATGTACTAAGAAAATCCTGATGCTTGAGGTTCGATCCAAAAGAAATACACATGTACTATATCATACTAAAGTGTAGTACATATGGTCATCTTCCAAGTGTTCAAGATATATGACTCCATACGGCTAAAACCCTTCCGGTTTTGCCCAAGAAAAAAAACATGCCTCCAAATCCAATGGGATACGATATGTACCATATGATATGATTCATATGTATCATATGAATAATATGTATCATATGATTCATATGTATCACGCAGCAAATGCAAGTGGTTTTTAATCCATGAATAAGTATACATATTTGGAATTATTTGGACATATTCTGTCAATACATCTGTATAGAAGAAGCGTATGGCTTAACACCCCTGGTACTCAGAGTACTCCAATGTAAAAACATTAAAACATAGCTGGTGCTCTGACAGGTCCGACAGGTTGATGACCATCCCCCAATATGGGTTTTTGTCATCGAGGTATACTGATTTAAAAAAAAAGTTGGTGATATAGGCCATTTTATCATATTTTATCACTAGATATCAAGAAATAACCATGGAACTGTGATATGTATTCAACTGTGATATGTATTGATATGTCACATATCCCCATGAAGATCTCCCATGAAACCACCATGAAACAAACATATTCCATCGCTTTCCACTGCCACGTCACATAAAGGCGGACCAACACATCTCTGTCCTGGACAATTCGATTGGAATGTCGGACCGTCGGATGTCGGATGTATTGGGAGAATGGCTAAGAGTCATGGCTAGCCGATAGCCCATATACCAAAGATATCTACAGATACCCGGCCTGGTAAACGTTTACATAACTGATGGGAAAATCACCATGTTTAATGGGAAAATCCACTATTTCTATAGCCATTTTCAATAGCTATGTTAAATTACCAGAGGGTAATGATCATGAATGATCATTAGTTCGTAGAAAAAAACGGATTCGTTTCAGCATGGAATCCAGCATGGAATCCGGTGTATGACTCCATCCTCATTCTGAATCAAGTTTCCACTCCGATTAGTCAAAGATGGTCAGTCACCCAGCAGTCAGTCACCTGTTGGTTATGACTAATAATCATTATATCCGAAAGACTTATTATGCCAGTTAATGATTATTATTAGTCCCATGGATATAATAATCATTAATAATAAGTGTTCATACCAGGTTTTATCCATCCACCAACAACGCATAATATATATATATACCAACGGCTGGTCTGAAAAGAGCCATTGGTCACATCTCGGTAGTCAGAAATAATTACCAAATCCAAAAATACAACAATAGCACAGGGAATTGTTTCAGCGGTTCTTGTTGATGTTGGACACCGAACATAAATAGTCCGACATCTGCGAATTCCAAACTTTGGAATGATTTCCCCAAACAAATGGGGGGTTTCCTAAAATTTGGGTACCCCAAATCATCAAATGTTAATAGGACATTAACCATGGGAAGCTTCAAATCGTTGGAGCGATCCCAGTATATTGGTTGTAACAAGCCACAGTTTTTGTCACTTACAACACGGGCTTTCCCAGTTATAAGTTTGTTTATAAACCCTTCGCTATATCCCTCATAAACCATAGAATTCACCTAACAAAAGTGAGATAAACCAACCTAGCTATGGTTCGCAAGCCCCGCCTGGTAGTTTCTGAAAACTCTGGCCAATGGAATATTAATCCTCAATGGAAGATGGAATATGAAGAATTGCAAAACCAATTGGATTCAAGATATTCCCATAGAATTCAGTGAAATCAACCACCTTCCTTTTCTAAAATCCCTATCCCTTCTTCTTGTGGTATTTATAGAGCGATGTTCATTAAAATCAAGCAATCAATAGAGTTGCTTATGAGTCATGAGTCGGCACCCTAAAATAGATGGTTACTGGATGGTTACTCCCCCAGTCATATGGTAATTTCATAGGTTTTGACGCATCATTTTGGGATTTCATCCAAACAATTGTTGATTGTTGAACCATCCTGTTTGATAATGATAATGATATCCTCCATGTTTTTTCTAATCAACAAATCTATGAGTTTTCTCATGGTTAGTTATGAAAGGCCATCAATTCTTGGTTGTTAAACCAATCTTCATGATTGTCATCATTTAGTTTGTTAAACCCATCTTCATTATTTGTTGATACAGTTCTATTTGTTGATTGTTACCCTCCGGCGTACAAACGTATCTGATTTTCCCATTACAAGCCTCATTCATTGGGAATTTCCCATTGCCACGGGTACTTGGTGGTTCATCCCAGTTAGTGGGTTAGTTCACCCCAGTTATAAGTGAACGTTGCCCCTACTTAGCCCATTTGTAGCAGGGATATGACCTACTTGGGATTCGTGGGTAGTTCGCCACCAAGTACATACAGTAATTATAATATTATACATATCCCAAAAAACATTGGGATATCCCGATATCCCGTATATCAATGGCCATGCAACAGGAACCGATTTATTGGAGGTACCTACCATATACAAGGCCTCTTTTCAGGTATAAGGGAATATCCATTTTTCAAAATATGGCCTGGAAAATGGTGCGTTTACGTACCTCCATTTTCGGATCCTGAAGATCTCCCATATATTCCCATATGGCTATGGATCAATACCTATTAATACCATTTTTAGGGGAATGAACATCCATAAATCCCAGCTATTTTGGGGTTCACTAGGTACCAGGGTTTTGACCCATCCCATATCAAAACCACGACATCTGTAGACCCTTGGGCCCTCGCCGAGGCACTGGGTGAAGTCGCCAAAGGTGGTTGGACTCGTGCGACTGCTGGTGTCATAGGTGCAGCTGAAAATCAATTCATCGCCTGGCCCATAGCCACCCTGAAAGTGGATCTCATACATATACATATACATATACCCTCTGGTAAACTAACATAACTATTGAAAATCACCATTTTTTATGGGAAAAACCACTATAAATCACCATTTTCAATAGCTATGTTAAATTACCAGAGGGTATATATATATTATATATATATGGTTATGGGTCAAAAGCCTATCCCCCTGTAGTTCACATCGAAATAGCTGGGATTCATGGATGTGAATATCCCCCTAAAAATGGTATTAATAGGTATTGATCCATAGCCATATATATATATATATATATGGTTGGTGGTTTTAACCATCTTGAAAAATATGAAAGTCAATGGGAAGGATTATCCCATATATTGTGGAAAATAAACAATGTTTGAAACCACCAACCAGATATATATATATACTTAAAGGATATAAATGGGGATAAACCAGCGAAATATAAATGGCTAGAAATATATATCTAGGCGATAATCAGGAATAAACCGGCAACAAATGGTTTATCATTCATGGTTGTTCATGAAGTTTTGGCCCGAAATAGATCCAAATAGCAGTTCTGGATGTCAGCAAAAGAATCCCAAGAAAATGAAATGGTAACCCAATAAAATTAGCCATAAAAATAACTGGTAATCATGTTGGGCTTTAGCTGCACCCAATGATGGATATGTGGATCAATGGGGGTTTTAACAACCAAAATAGTGGTTGAACCAAGACATTGACAATCTTAGATACCCTGCAAAAAAATAAATTCTTTGCTGGTTAGTAGATATTCCCATTGATACCAAAAGACTAAAGGATTAGTTTGTATCCATCTAAGATTGACCTAGAAGAACAATAGGGATGAAAAATGGGATGATGGCGGAAGATGGAAAACAAATGGCAAATCTGATCATTTTCCGATCTTGGTATGAATGATGTACTGTATCATCTTTCACTGTTCTTCGGGCAAACCAGATGTGTTGTCCATAAATTATGGGTATAATACATAATTGAACTATTACTGGAACTGTCATGGCTATAATAATTACATGGCTATACGTATATATATATATGTGTGTGTGTGTGTGTCATTATATGTCATAAAATGTAGTCATAATATACATCTGATGTGTTGTCCAGAGAATTGAAAAAATGAAGGGTCGGTTTGATATACGGTATACCATTGATTATCATGTACCTACTGGTTGTTGTATGAAGGGACCCCTCTGTTAATCAAGCAACCAGTGGGAAAATGACATCCATGATTACATTAGGGCTTGGTACAGTAAATGTCCCAAAATAACATCACCCAACCCAACAAAAAAGGGGAATTAAAGATGAGATCTCCAACAAATACTGGTACCAAACTTGTGTCAACTATCTTTAGCAAATGGTCACATTCATCTGAATCATGTTATCCATTTTTCAGTCTTAATGGTGAATAATTGTTACCCTCTGGTAAACTAACATAATTATGGAAAATCAGTCTTTTGAATGGGTAAATCCACTATAAATGGCCAGATTCAATAGCTATGTTTGTTTACCAGAGGGTAATCCATATTCATCCACTATTGTTGGTTATGTTGGTGATGTTTTCCAAGTATCTATTCATGATATCCATCAACTGCAAGGTGGTGCTCCCCCAGTTATAATCAATGGGAATTCCAGGATCATCCATTATTGTTGGTTATGTTGGTGATGTTTTCCCAGTATCTATTCATGATATCCATCAACTGCAAGGTGGTGCTCCCCCAGTTATAATCAATGGGAATTCCAGGATCCTAAAATGGAGGTACTGTACCATATAAGGCCATATTTTGGGGGGATATTCCCTTACATAGGCCTTACATGGGCCTTACATATGGTAGGTACCTCCAATTTAGGTTCCTGAAATGGCCATTGATATAAGTTGGTTTATAAACCATAGTAAGTATGTCAATATATCTACCATAAACCATAGTGAAATTGGAGTTATTGGCACCAACTTAGCGGATTCCGAACTGGGGCACCACGTCAACTGGTCACTTTTTCACAACCTCAGTTGGTTTATAAACCATAGTAAGTATATACATATATTATGATATATCTACCATAAACCATAGTTATTGGATGGTATTGGCGTTATAAACCACACTATAATATTTTATTCTACATCATAATATCTATATTAGATAAACATAGATAAAATCTGTTAAAACACCCAGATATATTCTATGCGAATGTCACCATTTTTCACCAATCACCCCACCTTTCTTCAACTTGCCCACGGAGGACGGTTCCAAGGACTGGTGACTAAAGTCGTATCGCTTCTCCCGTCGCAGCTGCCCTACGTGTTCACCACCTCCGTCGAAACGCCCGACACCCGGAGTTCACCCGTCGAACATTGGGGAGTTCCAGGGGATTTAGAGCTGATTTATGATAGCTAAATCATGTTAAATATATATATATATATAATATTATATATATAACATAATGTATATATATATAGTAAGTATATATATACAACATAATATATATATATAACATAATATATATATACTGGTTGGTGGTATAGCTACCCCTCTGAAAAATATGAAAGTCAGTTAGGATGATTACATTCCCAATATATGGAAAAAATGTTCCAAACCACCAACCAGTATATATAGCTCACTTAGTCTATCACTAGGTGAATTCTATCCATATATATACATATTATATCATATATGATTTATGTATGTTTATGTGAGATATCTCGAAGTCGTTCATGGGCTGAAACTGGTTAAACATATAGTTGCCGGTCTACGCCAATGCGAATTGGACGGCCGTATCGAAGAATTATTACAATTTCACATCAAAAACATCTGCCCAAGTAATATCACCAATCCAATGGTTGCTTGGTGGCTCAGGATTTGTTCACCCCAGCTATATACAACTGGACTTTTTCAGCCCGCCCTACTGTACGTTCACCAAGGGGTTGGGATGTCACGCAACCAATTCCGGGGTGAACCGCCAAGTACCTCCATTATATCATAGAATCATCCCGTCCTCACTAGCGGCCATTGATGTTCTCATAGGAGTCATTCGTTTTAGCTCGTTTGGCTTGGTTGGATCAGATATGTAAATGTCTCCAACTCCAACCCAGATTGTCTGCACTTTGTTCTTCCCTCTCATTGTTTTTCAGCTTTGCGTTTAAAATCATGATCAGATTATCAATCACATCTGTGATGGCTGCAAGCATTGCAAAATCCGAGAGATTCAAGGCAGCAAGGCAGTGGTAGTGGGATAAATTGTCTTGTCTTTGCCAATGACTTTTAATATACTCTCTGGTAAGCTAACATAAATAACTATTGAAAATGGGTATTTATAGCTGATTCACCCCTAAAATATTAGGTGTTTTTTTCCATTGTTATGTAAACGTTGACCAGGCCGGGTATATGGAGATGGGTCGTATTTGTGACCTATGAAATCACCGGGGGAATCAACACCCAGCTACCATCTTGAAAAATATGAGTTCGTCAATGGGAAGGATGACATCCCATATATGAAATGGAAAGTCAAAAAAAATGTTCCAAACCACCAACCAATAGTGGTAGTAGATTGAAATAGATGCAGCGTTGGTCATAATTCACGTTATCTGGAGAGGCTCTGGACACGCTACCACAGACTCTCCAAGTGCATCTTCTCTGACAGTTGCAATTGACTTTGACGGTGATGGACGGTGATACTCGTTTCCACCAATATTGGACTGGTTGGTGGTATGGTTACCTACCCCTCTGAAAAATGATGGAGTTCGTCAGTTGGGATGATGACATTCCCAACTGAATGGAAAGTCATAAAATTCCATGGTTCCAAAGCACCAACCAGAATATCATTCCATCTAAAAGAATCCCATTTAAGGAACATCCTTTAACTCTAATGGATATCCATCATTCCAATGGGACAATAAATACCCAATATTGGATTAGCCTTTCCATATTGGACTAGCCCATGATTCCCATGAAACTAGTCATCAACCGACTCCCAGGGAGGCTTCGATGATCATCCGATCTGTCCAAGTGCAGAATCGAGTCATCTATCATAATGTTTACGGCATTGCTTGCTATATAATTGCCATAAATTGCAATAAATTGCCAGAATATGCTTACTATATATCATTCTCCATGTTTATCTATTTTTGGTATATTCTATAGGATCTAATGGGATACTTGCTGGTGTTTTCCCCCAGGAATCGTGTTTGTGGCTTAGTGAAAGCCCCATATATGGACATTGCGCCTACTTATCCTGGTTGGTGGTTGAGCCTACCCCTCTGAAAAATATGAGTTCGTCAGTTGGGATTATGACATTAGAAAAATAACATTCATGTTCCAAACCACCAAGCAGATATATATTGAAATATCCCTTTCATGAATCTCCCAAAAAATATGCCATAGAAACCCATCATTTGAATCCCTACTGAAAAAGGCCACGAACATCTACATTTTTCTTGTCTTTCCATCACCTCTTTGGGATCCCATGGGGTTTTCCATGCCATTTTGACCACCCATATGCACTGATGGTTAAAAAAGCACCTTTTTTAAGATGGTGATGACTTGGAGATGGTTTATTCTTGGGTTTACCCACATTAGTTCAGTGTTTTCCCATGGAAAAACCCTGCATTCACAGCAAATTTGCCTCGCACCACATCGATGTTCAGGTTCTTTCCAACCAGGTGGGCGTGGTAGACCTGAGCCGGTGATATTAACAGATATTAACTATAGGACAATCCTACAGTATCCTACAGTTATGTTTGTTGATCTATGTTGATCTAGAAACCACGTGAAGTAAGTGTAGTTATTAGTTATAGATATATATATATATCCCCCATAAACATCCATAAACCATAGCCTCTCCTCTGCACTTATTCGGCCATTTTTCACGGATGTCCCAATCCAAGTCACAGCAATCCCCAGGCGAGGCGACGAGGTTTGTTGCGTCGCAGATGTTTATCAAATGGTTTCCTAAAATAGGGGTACCCCTAAATCATCAATTTGTGTAGGATTTTCCATTCGAAACCATCTAGCTATTGGGGTACCCCCATTTATGGAAACCTCCATATGGCTTTGTCTAAAATCTGGAACCTCTAAATCCATTGATCATTTTCCCTATGAACAGTACCATTTGGGGATGTATTCAGACCCAAGTTGCTAAAATATACCCTCTGGTAAACATACAAAGTTAGCTATTGAAGCCATGGCCCAGTCGAAAAAACGTGGATTTTCCCAGCTATAACAAGGTGATTTTCCAGTTCGCCATGTACACGTTTACCAGGCCGGGTACATCCATTAAAAGAACCGTGGATTCACATCCCCACTGCCCAAAAAATAATCCAACGGAATCTTCAAAACCACCAACCGTTGGTGGTACTAGTGGATAGTGGTTAATATAGTGGTTTTAACGGTGATTTAATGGTGATTTAATGGGTTTTAATGAGATTGAATGGTGATTAATGGTGATGTACCCGGCCTGGTAAACTGTCACATAGCGAACTGGAAAGATTCACCATGCTATTTATGGGAAAACTAACTATTTCGACTGGGCCATTGTCAATAGCTAACTTTGTATGTTTACCAGAGGGTAACCTACATCCACTTAGAAGATATGTTTTTCTCCCTACAAAAAAAAACAAAACATTTAGAACATCTGAAATCATGAGATATTTGATGTCCGGGATCGTCCGATACTTTTGAGATTATGCATGACCTACAGTTATCCAGCCCTTTTCCAAATTAGTGGTTTTAAATGGGGCTAGCATTTCAGACATGGGGTGAATTAATGACTTAGAACTTGTATTTCGGGCCATATTTGTGTGACATTCATTTGCCAAAGATCTGGGTAAATTATAACATGTCACTGCACTAATCTGAAATGTTCGGCTATTTTTGGATAGTTACTCTTACAATTCCCATCATTCCAGTGAGGTCGCACCTGAGGTCGCGTTTCAAAATTTTAGCGCAGATTCTTATAGTTCTTATAAAATCATATTAATTTACAATACACTAACCATTAACCATGATTATATATATATATTAACAATACATTAACCATTAACCATGATTAATATTCATTGATTAACCATGATTAAGCAATATATTTTCCCCACGACGCCGCGACGGCTAAAGGTCGTTACAATTTACCACAGCCAAGGAGCAACACCTAGCACCGTGACTTCATCCACGGTCCTCGGAGGTTTGCTTCCCCATAAATTTGGGGAACAAATCATTCCATCACTAAAAAGACCATGGTTAATAATGGTTAGTAGTGGTTAATAATAATAGTAATGGTTAATAATGGATAATAATAATGGTTTATTAATAATAATAATAGTGGTTAATTAATAATAATGGTTTAATAATGGTTAATAATAGTAGTCAATCTGGTTGGTGGTTGAGCCCTAGCCCTCTGAAAAATGATGGAGTGAGTAACAGTTGGGATTATGACATTCCCAAGTGAATGGAAAGATATGGAAAGTCATAAAATTCCATGGTTCCAAACCACCATCTAAAATAATCCCATTTAAGGAACATCATTTAACTCTAATGGATATCCATCATTCCAATGGAACAATAAATACCCAATATTATATATATATCATATCATTATACAACAATCACTCTAATATTAAACACCCCAATTGCCTGGTCCCAATGTGGAAAATCCCAACAAAAAAAACATGGTTTCGTGCTTGGGGGTGTTGAATATATTAGGGGGTCCCGGGATTACGATGCCAACAAAACGTAAAGGCCGGTGGTTTGATAAACAATCCATGGGAAAATCCATGGGAAATGGTCCATGGTTTGATCCTCCGGTTTTTGGAGCACCGAAAAAGTCTCGGGCCGTGATTCTTCCCTTGCAAACACTTTTATGCCCTATTCTGCCTGAAGGTCCGATGCAAACAAACAACCTGAATTTTCGCTGATATCGGTGTTTCATGGATTAAGATCAAAGATTGATCAAATTTCAGATCCAAGTTCAATGTTAAAAAATATCTTCAAACTGCAATGTATACGGCAAATTCATGATTGATGAAACACAGTTGACCTGTATACCATGCAGCATCTCATAACAACTAACGACAACATACGAAACATCAAACAAATCATAAAATCAAACACAAATAGGCAAAAAAGGTGATAGATGGCTACTAATAGGGTACAGTACCTCCCTCATTTTTTTTACGAAACCCTACTTCACCAGGATTTCTGGCGTTTTCGCCATCAAAGATCCCAATCCTTTCTCAATTTATCTATATACATTCTTATTTGTCAGCAATTTGCCGTATCTTTGGATGTATTTAGTCTCGAGTCTGGGCCAGGGCCTTGAAACTTTTCGACCGGTTCGATCGGGGTGCCATATGGGTGCCATCGAACATAGTTTAGCAAAAAAAAAGTCTACACTGTACAAAGAAATACATATTTATGATACTGGTTATATATGGTTATATATCTTATGACCATGACATATAGGATAGAACCAGCATCTTCATGTGATGTTTCCATATGTTTCCTGGCTTTCTGCACCCTCAACTGCCCAGGCACCATTTGTTGGTACAGGTTGAAGGGACATAGGCCTGGCTGCGGAAAATTGTTTCTATATCATGTTCAGAACTGGGTTCCCCATGGGTTTTCCATATCTTGGAGCAGTTTACTGGACAGTATATCTAACATTATCTAACTCTGTTCCTCCATACTGGCTGGATATACCCTCTGGTTATTATAGCTATCGTATAGATGGCCATCTAGATGATTTGCCTATGAAAGCTGGTGATCTTCAACGGCAATCCCAAATTACCCGGGGGGTAAATCATATACAGCAATACGACTATGGTGATTATATAAGTATTATAAGAATTCTATAATCATTATAATCCCCTTGATTCTACCTCCAAAAATCTGTATGAAGCCTATATCAATCTTACACTAATCTCATATAAATGTTATATAAAACATTATAAAACTCATGAATCATGTTTTGGGGTCCAGCTATCTGAACCAGCCATGTTTTATGCTACCTGTTAAGGGACCGATCTTTTTCTGTTCCAAAATTCGATGCTGAAGATTCGAGGCCCAAAAATCTTTGGTCCACGAAAAAACATATGTTGCTGGTTGGCTGGTATATTTTATAGCTGGGATTTAGCCAAAATTTCCATATATATATATATAGCCAAAAATATATAGTATACAAGCACAAAATCTTTTCGATATTTATAGCCATATATATATATATACATGGATTTAGCCAAATATATAGCCATATATAGCCAAAAAACAAATATAGACAAAAATTGTTTGGTTCTTTTTGATATTTATAGCCAAAACGAAGGGCGGCGCATCAGCGGATTTGTTCCCGCCCAGTTGGGGATTTGTCAAACGGCACGTTGAATCCGCAGTGGATTTTCATCAGTAACACTAAGTCACTAAGGACTTAAGCCTGGTGAAGCTGGTGAATTTTCAGGAATTAAACCAGTAGTCATAGGTTAAGCTGATCGAGGGCCTTGGTTAAACCTGCTGAATTCCCATTGCAAACAATTGGCAACCAGGAACCTGCCAAGTTCTTCAGTAACCTGCAGTATCCAAGGCAATGTGATGAACAGCGAGCTCAGTTGATTTCCATTGCAACATTTGATTGAAGGTACCCTCTGGTTATGTCAAACATAGCTATTGAAAATGACCATTTGTAGTTGATTTACCTATTAAAGATGGTGATTGTCCATAGTTATGTTAGTTTACTAGAGGGTATCTCAGTTCATGATAATGACAAGGCATGCGTTGGCGGTTGTTGCAGCCAACAACGATATCTTTACCGAGAGTTACCCAGAATATTAGAACTAAATAACATAATATCCACAGTTAACTATGAAATCATTTCCGCAGTTTTTTGCCCAACTTTGTCATGTCTATTCAAAAATATCCACAATTGTCTGCAGGTTAAACGTCACATGTTGTGCTGGTTGAACCCAAGGTTTGATGTACCGACTTCGCTATCGTTTGGGGGCACCAACTGGTATATATCTGGATTATAACAGCACTTACGCTTCCATAAATCAGCTATTGATCTCATTAAAATCATTTAATCACATGTTTGTTTGGTTAAATATATGACCAGAAATCATGTGAAAAATCACCATTTTCCAATGGTTTCCTATGGTTACTCCATGTTAACCCCATCAAAAAAAACGCACTTTCGTCTCACCTTTGGCAGGGTGTACTCCGATTCTCCGGCTGGAATGGGATCACGTTGGTCGTCGCCCGTGCCGCCGTTGAAGCGGAAGGTGCCCTGGCCGATTCGGGCAATGAGGAGATCAACAGCACAGTCAATGAGATATGGAGATATGCTATATATATATATATACATATTATATATATGTATGTGATATGATATATTGTGTATATGATGTGTATATATATACCAGTAGTGCCGCACAAGGCGGTGGCGGAAGTTTCAAAAAGAGGAAACCTATAGGAGAAGTTGGTTGTTGTGAATCAGGGATGGCAGAGCGAAGCCACTGATTGACCGAAAGGTGGTTGGAGTTGTGTTTGCTGGAATGGTTGCAATGGTTGCAGTGGTCACCTCACCCACAACTGCTGGATGTAGTGTGATGTACTGCAACTGTAGTTGTAGTTGTAGCGTAGTGGAGTTGTAGTTGTGGTGTAATGTAATTAGTGTAGTGTAGTTGCAGTCATATGGTTGTAGCTGTAGTTGTTTTGTAGTTGTAGTTGTAGTTGTTGTAGTTGTAGTTGTTGTGTGGTTGTAGTTGTGTAGTGTAGTGTAGTAGTAGTAGTAGTAGTAGTGTAGTTGTTGTTGTTGTTGCTGTAGTTGTTGTAGTTGTAGTTGTAGTTGTAGTTGTAGTTGTTGCTGTTGTTGTAGTTGTAGTTGTAGTTGTTGTTGTTGTTGTAGCTGTAGTTGTTGTAGTTGTAGTTGTTGTGTAGTTGTTGTAGTTGTAGTTGTAGTTGTAGTTGTAGTTGTAGTTGTAGTAGTTGTTGTTGTTGCTGTTGCTGTGGCTGTTGTTGTTGTTGTTGCTGCTGTTGTTGTTGTTGCTGTTGCTGTTGTTGTTGTTGTTGTAGCTGTTGTAGCTGTTGTAGTTGTAGTTCGAGTTGTAGTTGTAGTTGTAGTTGTAGTTGTAGTTGTAGTTGTTGTGTAGTTGTTGTAGTTGTAGTTGTTGTAGTTGGTTGTTGTGGTTGGTGTTGTTGTTGTTGTTGTTGTTGCTGCTGTTGCTGTTGCTGTTGTCGTCGAAGTTAGGGTAGTTAAGTTAGTGAAGTTAGTTAAGTTAGTCAAGTTAGTTAAGTTAATCAGTGTCTACTTTTTCGACATCTTCACGTCAAAAAAGACTCAAAACCCTCAGTTTTTTACACTTTTGACTTCGAAATGTGCTTCGCGCCACAACGGCGTGCACTTTTTCGACACTTTTTCGACATCTGAACCTCCAAAAGTGGTCCGAGACATGGTGTGTTTTGTACATTTTGACTTGGAAATGTGCTTCGCGCCACAACGGCGTGCACTTTTTCGACATCGAACTTCCAAAAGTGGTCCGACCATGGTGTGTTTTGTACATTTTGACTTGGAAATGTGCTTCGCGCCACAACGGCGTGCACTTTTTCGACATCTCAACTTCCAAAAGTGGTCCGACCATGGTGTGTTTTGTACATTTTGACTTGGAAATGTGCTTCGCGCCACAACGGCGTGCACTTTTTCGACATCGCAACTTCCAAAAGTGGTCCGACGCTGGGTGTTTTGTACATTTTGACTTGGAAATGTGCTTCGCGCCACAACGGCGTGCACTTTTTTGACATCTCAACTTCCAAAAGTGGTCCGAGACCGCCAGTTTTTAACACTTTTGACTTCGAAATGTGCTTCGCGCCACAACGGCGTGCAATTTTTCATCGCTCCTGTGGCCAGCTGGCTCCGCACCCGCCGCTTTAGCGAGCCTACTTTTCGACCCTCCGGAGCCACAAATCATTGGAAAAACACAGTGTTTCGCGACTTTCCTACCTTTTCGCGCATCTGTATCTTCTGTCTTCTTACTCTTTCTCTTCTGATCTTCTCTCTTCTAATCTTCCTCTTCTCTCTGCCTCTGCCCTGCTCTGCTTTTCATCTCTCCATATTGTCGGAAGTTTGACTTCTAAACTTCCTTCGATGATATATATATATATATATATGATGTATATATGTGTATATATATATACATATGTATACACATCCATCACTATCACCAGATTATGATAATCAGCTATTGATCCCATTAAATCACCTTTGTTCTTGACTAAATCACCAATAATCACCAAAAAATATAATGAGATTATGATAGATTGTGGATATATTCTGGAGATAATGGATACTCATATATATATATACAGTGTCCTCAAAACTATGGTTAAACATTCATAATGCGAAATTCATATTAATGGATATATAAATAGTATATCTTACGATGAAGGATTCATATCCCTATGTACATAGGACTTTAGGCCCATGTTTTAATAATGTTGTAATGGAGCTACTGTGGTTTATCCTAGTTACTAAATGGGTTTTTACCCAAGTCATAATTACGGTAAGTCGCCGCAATGTCCAGCTACAAGATGGGTCATCATCGATTAGCCCACTGGGGTGAGCCATTTAATATGCAACTATACACATAACAAGCAAAATGCACCCTCTGGTAATTTAACGTAGCTATTGAAAATGACCATTAATAGTGGATTTTCCCATTAAAAATGGTGATTTTCCATAGCTATGTTAAATTACCAGAGGGTAATGTATTATAGAACAAAATAGGGAATGTACTGCAAACATGAGGGGATTAAACTGTCAGAATTGTTGCTGCGTAAATTCACATTATGTTTTTGATTGAAATCCAGATGTTCCGGTTTCGATGCATCTAAAGATACCTTTCTTTTTGCTGGGCTCTGGATATACTTGGAGGATCACTTGTTGAAAACTGGTCCATAAGCCTAGTTGTAACCCGCTGATTGGTATATCGGATCATGGAATACATGGATAATCCAGCTAGGGGACTTACGAACTCACTTCAGAGTTCTTAATCGATTATGCATCATGATCCTGGATAGATTAAAATCATTCACCAACCCAAAATCAGGTCATTGTGAGAGAATTACCATCCACAGCTCCTCGAACACCCACCCAAATCGGATCCATTGATTGGGATCATTTTCCTCGTTAAAACCCGAGGTTTTCCACATTGGATCCATGGCTATCTTCACGATCCCCGTGCCGCCGCACCGCATCGTAGGTGCGCAGTTGGGTCGCGAAGGTCACCCGAACACCGCTGCTGTCTTTGATGCCAGTGGTCAAGGAAGGGTTGTAGTAATGCATCCTGCAGTGACGTGAAGTTTTCCAAAAGGCTGAAGGTTCCCACAGTAAAAGACGTGGGCTTTTGCCGGTGGTTTCTGGTAGTTTCCGGTTTCAAGCTTATATACCTCAATAATAGATTTGTTTAAGCGGTAAAACGGCAGATTTGAAGGCATGAAATCCAAAATAAGTGGGATAATAATAGGGAAATAACTAATATTGAGTGGAATAATCGATGTTGGATGAAATGGGATAGCGGTCAGGGGTTGGTAACTGTCCCATTTTGGGAATATTGGACATCACCTTATAGTAGCCATTATAGACCATATACCTAATGGTTGGGTGATGTTCAATGGGGACATTTAATGACCCATGGCGGTGTACTTGCAAATTGGGTCTACTCCCCAAATGGCAAGCGTAATAGGGACAATTAAGGTTACAGCCAGCAATCATTGATAGTTCTACCTTGTTCCGACATAACTGGGCTTTGAGTAGCGAAACATTTGGATTTCACGAAGCTTCAACGAGCAAAACCGCTAGGTTTTTTTATCACCATGCATCAGGATAGGACCTGGTTTGTCTTGTGGATTGAACGCCGGCAGGATGTTGGATTTTAAGAAGCAGCTATGTGTCGATTCAACCAAGATAAATGGGAAATCCCTCATAACTGCAGCTTCTGGGAAAATCATCTATCAATGGGAAAATTTATGAAATGTTCCATTGCTATGTTTGATTGCCAGAGGATTTAATCATCTGTGAAATGAGGATCAACAACATAACTGATTTCCACACAACAACATCATGAGAAATCAACAAACACGAGGATACCACCAAACAAATCCAGGGAAATAATAACGGGCTAGTGGAGATTACTAATGGGTATGGGTCAAAAAATATAACCCATAGAACCACAGACGTTTTCACGTCGAACTGTTCAGTATTTTTACATGTTTTAACTATCCATGTTTTTGGGACTCAATTTTTGATCCGCACACCTGAAAAAATATGATGCTATGGTTCAAGAATCCACAACCAGGGTTTCCACGCTTCGGCGTTTACGGCGAGAAACGTTTAGACGCAGAAGATTGATTCATCCAATTGCTGGATGTTTTTCTATACTTATCCCCAAAAAGACTTCAAAAGTAAATTCCTACAAAAATAGTGACAGAGTAAGTGGTTCTATCTTCGAAGGGGACTGCTGCAAGAATTTTTGTTCGTGTCTCTCCATGTCTCTCCAATATATATGGCCAGTTTGATCGGGAGTGATTCAGTGATGACCCGGTGTTTCTTTCTTGTGCCCAATGTGCCTGGTTCGTTCCTACTTCCAACTGTCCCATCGATTTGGGGCCTCTTTTTGTATCCTCTTGCATTCACACAAGCTACAAGAAGGAACTCCCAATTAATCCCATCCTCCTTATATTGAACACTCCTAAGAAACCATAGTTTAGGGTATTTACACATATTCGGGACCATTTAGGGGGGATGTTTGATATTGGGGCGATGGGGTTAAGTTGCTTAAACCCCCCATCTAACTACGGATATGTCCACCATAAATCCTGGGTAGCTTGGTAATCGGTCCAAGATGCTGCAGGGCAAACCACTTCTGACCCTGGCCCATTGGCATGCCAGCCTGAGACTGGAAAGGATCATGGGAGGTGGACCGTTTGAACCAGGGATAATATTTTCACCAACCAGACACTGTGTTCAATCCGCACAAAACTCCAGATTCCATTCTGTAACAACAATTGGACTTGAACCAGAACAAATGGATTAATTATGAAAAATCACTCATGTAACAATATACATAATATCCATGACTTATTAATAACCATTAATAACCATTAATAACATTTAATAACAATAAATAACCATGACTTAAATCATGTTCATTGTTATTGATAATCATTATTTACAAACCATAATACCATTGATAATCATTAGCTGAGACGTCACGGCCGGGAAGATTCCCCGAATCCGAAAAATTCATCATTCCAGATGACGATAAAAAACGACGTGAGGTCACGTCGTAAGTCATCCAAATAACATTATAGTGTTATATTATGTGGATGAATTATATAATGAATATTATAGTCAGATAACTTATAATATATTAAGTTCCTAAAACCATTTCTAGACATTGTATGTAGTACGACTAAGCATTAAAAAATCCCCATGTTTAGATGGTTTTCCCATAGAACTAACAAACAGAACTTACTTCTTTTACCAACTGAGGGTCTTTCGCTGGAAACACGGTGGCTGCGGCTACAGGGTGAGGTTTGCGGTGGCCCAAAGTCCATCACTGATAACACCAGAGATTAATACAACCATGAATATACCTCGTCAATTTAACATGATATGTGTGTGTGTATATATAACTATATTAACTATATATATGTATATAGAAATATGCCATTATTTAACATGATATGTGTATATATATATATGTATATGTATAATTATGTATATATATATATATTGAAATATCCCATTAATGAATCTCCTTTAATTTAAACCATACATAGAAACCCATCGTATTTGAATCCCTTGAAACCCATCGATTTGGTGGGATGTTTTTGGGGAGGTACTGCATATGCCTCATGTTCAAACACGGGAGATCCGATCATCTCCTAAAAATTGCAGGATGGGATTGCATCCCACAGGATGGGAGTGCTTCATATCTCAAAAGAAAACCAAGAAAACCACACTTCTCAACTATTGATATCTATTGATATATGTTGATATCTATTGATGTCTATTGATGTCTATTGATGTCTACTCTATTGATATCTATTGATATCTATTGATATCTGTTGATATCTATTGATGTCTATTGATGTCTATTGATGTCTACTCTATTGATATCTATTGATATCTATTGATATCTATTGATATCCACATTATATCATATCCCCATGATGCTTCCCCAAGCCAACACCAATTCATGTGGTTGGGAAACTCATTTCGTGGCTTCTTGGCTACCAATTCAGAACATGGATACGGATACAGCATGATACAGCTGCACCTCTGATGCTAGCTTCGTGTAAAAAAAATCCCCAGATTCTGAAAAATCCCATGGTTAAAGCCATAATTTTCCCAATTCTGCAAACCTCAGGGTATTAAATTATGGCTTTAACCATGGGATTTCCAAACTAGCTTCCTATAAAAAAATCCCTCAGATCCTTAAAAAGTTTTAGTTTGGGGATTTCCAGTATCTGAGGATCCTCAGGGTACTCCATATCCCAAACTTCCCAGGCCCCACGTCCCACCTGTGGTGGGAATACCACCGACTCGCTGCCAACGGCCCAGGGCCACTTCAGCGCGTTACAGCCACGAGGCATTGACTCGCACTCCGGGACCACCTGATGGAGAGGATTCATAACATATAATATATAGTATACCCTCTGGTAAACTAACATAGCGAACTGGAAAATCACCATGTTCAATGGGAAAATCCACTATTTCTATGGCCATGTTCAATAGCTATGTTAAATAACCAGAGGGTATATATATATATACACACATATTGTGTTGTTGTTTTTTAATGTTTTTTACCATTGACTAACCATAGATTTCATGATTATCAGTATACCAGTATACCACTGTCAGCCTCGGTGATGTTTCTTTAAGTGACATTCCAGGATGCCGGAAATTTCAAGCTACCGAGATCAGACTCGCTACATGGGGGTATGGAAACATACCCACCATTATTACAGTTGATATATTACCTCTATATTTACACCCTTACAAAGTGAATAGCTGGGATTTCTGGTTTCACATAGTTGTAATGACTATAGTTGAAAAAACGGAATTTGACTATTTGACTATCTTTTCAATAGAGGTTTCTAATATGATGTAAATTTAGATTCGTGTTAATATCTTCATTTTTTGTCCGTAAAACCTTGATTTTCCTCCATCTTTGACCTGAGGGCAGCCCATCATGAAATACTCGTTCGTTGATAGGTTTCCGTAAAACTATGGTTTAGTTCATAATCCCTTGAATATCTTAAATAAGCCAAGTAGTATATATATCTATGGGCAAATTATATATAATAATTCACTAACCTGAAATAAGGCTGATTCCCCTTGCTAACCATGATTCCAGTGAGGTCACAGTGAGGTCGTCATAATTTACCCAAATATATATATCCTGCTATAATTGATGACCAATCAACAATGGTAATTATTCTTAATGGCTGAATCATATCCCAATAGGGAAACATATATGGATAATGATTGGAACAATATCACCACTCCATTCCATGGTTCCTATAGCAATGAACAATCATTGGGGATATTGTAGCAATAATTGGATAAGATAGAGAATAGTTATATCCCAATCATATGAAATGCCCAAGTGCCAAGGGAAATGAAGCAGGAACAAAACACATGAAACACCTTCTTGCAAAGGAAACAACGTCCAATAATATTGTTGGATGGGAGGTCACTTAAAGCATCCCATTTCATCCCATTTCATCCCATTGTAACAGCCATTTCACATGTGTCAAATCTCACCGACCTATCATTGATATATCTGGGTTAATTATCATATTTCACTAACCTGAATAGTTGGGCCCATTTGGGGATGATTTCCCGAATCCTAACCATGATTTCCAGTGAGGGAGAACAGTGAGGTCGTTATAATTTACCCAAATATATATATATATATAGATATAGATATTAGATATGTATATATATATATATCCTGCTATAATTGATGACCAATCAACAATGGTAATTATTCTTAATGGCCTATCATTGATATATCCCTATGATATCCCAAAAAGGTGAAATCCGGACCGTTCGGACCCTTCGGACCGAAGTCACCGGACCTGTCCCAGGACCCTGGTGGGATGAATTACTCCGAAAATCTTCTTAGGGAACTACCATAATCATATTCCACCTGATTGGATTCAGTTGGTTAATGTTGGTTAATCCCCTTGAAGTAACCATAAACCGTATAGATCGTATAGTTATTGTTATTGAACGGCCATAAATTAACGATGGGCCCCTGCCTGGCCATGCTGGAAGCCACTTGCAGCCTCGGCGTCGTGGAACGGATGCAACGGATGTTATCCCATGATCTCCCAATTTCTGATTCCATTCTACTATTGTCCCACTATTGTCCTACTATTATGTCATCATATCCCAATATCATTAGTGTAATATTTATAATATGTATATATATATATATATATCATAAAACAAACAATAAAGGTCGGAAGATGGTTGTCCTTCTCGAAACAGTGTAATCTCATTGATCCATTGGTATTCCCAGCATTTCACCCTCCTGAACTGTCCACTGGGATTCTGTGGGTTCTCCATGGGACCTACCAATCTTCCTCAACAGTTGTGATCAGTTTGACCAGCAATAAACTCTGCCAGAATGGCAAGATGCCACCTGGTTGGTGGATGATTATTCCCAATATATATATATATATATGTATATGTATATATATATATGTATATGTATATATATATATGGAAAGTCATAAAAATCATGTTCCAAACCACCAACCAGCCACACATTGCCAGCAAAAAAAATCGGAGACATTGGACATGGTCTGAAGATCGCGGCTCGCCCCATGGAGACCCCTCCATGTCTGGCAAGAAATATCACAGAAACCCAACTTCCAAAGAAAAATGTCCGAACTCAGAAAATGGGTTTGTCTGAAAATGTTGGGTTAATCTTCCCAATGAAATAGCCATTTAATAGGGATAATGATCAGCAAAACCATTGGGTAAAAAGGGGTACACTATTTTCAGACACACCCAAATGAGTATCAATGCATGAATGGTCCTTAAACAAATAGCCATTTCGTTCAGTTCCCACAACCATGAATCTGGCTGAACTGAAATAGTTCGTAATTCACCGAGCTGAAAATTCTTCTTATCATTCAAGTGATAACTATAGTGACATCATGAAAGATGAATCATTGTTATAGTGACTATAATTAGATCCAGATGTCATTACTATTGTTATAATACGACCATAGATATTATACTATTGTCGTATTATACTATTCTTATCTGGATGATTATCATATCCATTATAATATCATATACTATTATACTATTGTTATCTGGATAATATATGTTATACTAGTGTTATACTATTGTTATACTATTGTTATACTATTGCTATCTGGATAATATCTGATCGAAATTGTAGTTATAATAGTTCTTATCATACGACCATTTGGGATGCATAAATCCCTATCTATTTGGAACGGTGGTTCCCCAGCATTTTGAAAACGTCGAAAAGCCCATGGTTCATTCAACCACATGTAGTCATACTATATATTTTCCATGTAGTCTAGTGTTCTATTTCTATAATATATAGTATGACTTAAAATTTGAAATTCCAATCTTCCACAATAGTCATACTATTTGTTTGATAGATACTATAGACATACTGTATAATATACATATATATATATACATTATATCGATAAGCATCTTGGCCAATGGTCATCTTGGCCCTTGGCCCTGCTGGCCCTGCCCCCCAGGTCCCATCTGTGCATCTCAAAAACGTCCTCGTCCTGTGATCGAGGCGCAAGTGGCCCAGCTTGGCGTTTCCGTGTAAACTTCAAACGTGACTGATGGGTATCGAACATCAGACCAAGCGGTGCATATAGATATTATATATATATAGTATGTCTATAAATTGTATCTATATATATATTTATATATGGTATGTACAAAATATAGTATGTATAATATAGAGTTTATAAATATATATATATTTATTGTGTATATATATAGTGTATATATATAGTTCTAGCAAAATCTTACCCATATCCCAAGGCTGTTCATATTCCATGCCCAAATAGCTCCGGAAATTTGGAAAATAATGAACGACCTTTGATGATGAGAATAAGGTTGTGTGACCCTTGTCAGGCGCTCCCTTGTCACGTGCTGTCATGTCCAGTCGCACATGTTTAACCCCGCTGAGAACCTTCTCAAGCAATGATTTCTTGAATAAACATAATCATAAAGTCTTGTTTCTCTCATCAATCATCAGCTTCTCTCTAGGATCTTTTAAAACCATTGGATAAGCTGTTCAGCTTATTTTTTGACGCGTTTGGCTGGCGGCTCAGCTTCCGCATCTGTAAACGGGGCCAAGTCTGGATTACGCTGTTCTTCCTCGAACCCAAATGGTACCATATTTCCACTTAATACAGTTACATTGAGTAGGATGCCACCCCTGGAGTACGATGCCCCCCCCGTATGCGTTGCCGTTCCTGCATGTGGGCTTCTCAGGCATATGTTAATATCATTTTTGATCAACTCGAGGCTGCAAATTCCATTCCACATACCCACAAGGCTTCACACTCTATCGCGCACGACTAAGACAACAATCGAGAATTTCCATAGCCTCCACGGGTCAAAAGTATCTAAATTTCATGGAATGCGATTGTATGCGCGACTGTTCAAAACGCTGGAAAAACAACAATTTCCCCCATATTCCATATTATCAGATTCCAGAGCATTTTACCTCCGAAGAGGAAAAAAAATAAAAATAGCTCTTCAGGTCAATTTTTCGAAAAAAAGTGTTTTTGGCTGTCTGCGCAAGTTTTTCTGGTGTACGATCCCTTTTGTGGAGTACGATGATCTGTGAGTAGGTGTGTGGAGTGCGATGGGGTCCTCTGGGGTGCGATGACACCCCTCGAGTGCGATGCGACATGAGTATGCGCGGCCGGAAATCCCCTGAGAGAAGGATTCTGGGCCACAATTCCCCAAATTCAACAGAGTGGGCGGATGCTGGTTGTTGTAATTTAACAGGATTTCAGCCCACTCAACAAACAAGTCAAACAATATGTTGAAACCCTCTCCTTCTTCAGTCTCCAAAATGGGAAACTCACTTATCAGGACACGCTTTAGTTCATCCAGGCTCCATAGCATTTCAGGAACAACACAAGGCATCGACATGGTGCCAAACAATTTCCAAATTGAGCTGAAAGGTCTTCCCATCGCAACCAGTCAATTCACAGGTGTGAAACATGTCACACACAGGGAAACAGGTTGGGAAAACAGTGGGTCCAAAGAGACAGGTCTGGAGTACGATGGATTCATAGTATATGTACATTTTCTGAATTTGGGTAACTTGGAGCTAGAATAGTGTATATATATTGTATATATATATATATTGTATATATATTGTATATATATATATGTATACAGATATTGTATATATATATATAGTGTATATATATAGTATATATATATAATATATATAGTATATATATATATAGTGTATATATATAGTATATAGTATATATATATAGTATGTATATATATATAGTATATATATTATATGTATATATATATATTGTCCACCGGTTTTGCTTCTACATTTTGTGGTTTGGCATTGCATGCTTTTGCCGTGTATGCTTATATAGTTTAACAGTCCCTGCCAGTTTCAGAAACGCATTGCGCAATAAAGGGCTGAAGCTACTGATGTTTTTCTTTCCGATCTGTGTCTGGTTGGTGGTTTCAACCCCTCTGAAAAATATTATATAGTCAGTTGGAATGTTTATTCCCAATATATGGGAAAATAAAAAATGTTCCGAACCACCAACCAGTGTGTGCATTAAACATGATAAAACCACCATTTGGATGATGAAATCCATACCTGGATGGAGTCCCATCGCTGAGTCACTTTTTAGTTTACCAACCTGACATGAGGAAATTTTGCAACATTTCCCCCTACCTGACCAGTACTAATTCACCTGGATCTGCCGGAAAATCTACAAGAAACCACTGCTCTTCCCATCTATAGGGAAATCCTGCCGATGTTCCCTCTGAGACCCATCTTCCAAACCTCAATCTGCCAGCTGACACCTCCAGCCCGCCTCGCAAGCGTAGAGGATCATGTGATGAACGTAGGCTGCAGGTCAGTATCCAAGATTGGGGAGAACATTGCCACCTGAGTCCATGGCTCATTGGATATCTTGATGTCATGGGAATGCTGTGGGGATGAAAATAACACAAACAAACCAACTGTTCAAAGAAGTCGGTTATGTCTGTTGAAGCTATCAGAGATTGAATACATGCTTTACAACAAGAGCAGTGAATAGAAAACAAACACATCTTCTGTTTTTGGCTCAAACATGACTCATTCACCCACACAACCAGTGTTGTCTCTATGGGATCCTTCAAATCTATCCCCGGTTTTAGGCACCAGTTTTGTTGAGCCACACCCGTAGAGTACGTTCCCAATCGCAAACCTGGCAAGGGACAATCTATAGCCACCAGAACAAACGATAGAAAAGTAACTTACCCCTACTTTAGTAGCATTTTTAAGTCTCCTTCATTCTTTTTGTTCTTGTTGGTGGTTACCTGAATCATTCTGAATCCACCGACCTTGAGAAAACAGAGTCCCAGGGGGTGACCGCAATCCTAAGGGGCCCCATAATTAGTTACCTAAGTTGCTGCAAATAAACATTTCACGTGTGTTTTCCCCATCCGACATATGTGAAACTTCCCATGTTCTCCGGGAATCTCAGATGGTCATTTTCCCAACGAATCATCAACCTACCATCGAAAAAAAAAAAACATCGTTTATCAAGTACATATATCCATCTGTTGATCGCTGAAATCCCTCTTCATGGTTAAAATGTTGTAGCATCAAATCATCAACATTTATCATGTGTATTCCCTTATATTCATCTTATATTTCCATATTCAGATAGTCAAACACTATATTAAATGACGAACTAATCATCAACCAATGATGTTCTCCGACATTCTGGGTAAATAGTAATATTTCACTAATCTGAAATGTTCGGCTATTTTGGGATACTTACCCTTACTAGCCATCATTCCAATGAGGGAGATCGACGTGAGGTAGTTATAACCCAGATCTTATAGCTATCAAAAATCCAATTCCACGCATGTTTAAGCAATAGTGACCACTATTAAACACGATTAACCATTATATTACCCTCTGGTAAACTAACATAGCTATTGAAAACGGCCATAGAAATAGTGAGTGTTCCCATTAAAAATGGTGATTTTCCATAGTTCTGTGACAGTTTACCAGGCCGGGTACATCACCATTAATCACCATTCAATCTCATTAAAACCCATTAAATCACCATTAAAATCACCGTTAAAACCACTATATTAACCACTATCAACCAGAGTTCCCAGGCTTCCGCGCGTGGTGCTTGTCGGCCAAATTCATGCTGCTCGGCAGCATCCTGCCATGGCCCATGGCTTAGGGGATTTGTTTCACATCACTAAAACAAGTATTTCCTGGAGATTATATCCCCAATTTTTTTGGGTGACGTGAAAAATTAGGACATTTACCAACCCCTGATATATATATATATATAATATAACCATATAATACCATATATGGATCCATATGGTACAACGGTTCAAACCTCAGAAATTTCCGTTACCACGTGGGTTAATAGTTTTATATAATTAGTGCCATAGTTTCGAAATGAATGAGTTAGTTTTATGTAAAAGTGATTGAAAACCACTACTTGGATCTACTTGGCGGTTCATTCCAGGCATCACAAGTGTGTTCTAACCCCACAATTTTCAGTAGGTCGAGCCACCAAGGATTAAGCCAGAAATCGAAGGGCGCAACAACCACACATGAAAAAAATGCCATGGGGATCCCCCTTAAAAGAAAGAATTGTACGAGTACATGCACATATGAATCATTTTCATCATATATTATAATATTCTAATAATAATGATGTAGATATATACACACCATTCACAAGGGGACTCACTGTTCTATCTACTTGGGATCCTTGTAGAAGTGATAGATCCCCAAAACTCTGCACCATAGCAGGGATCTGCAGGGTATACATATTCAAATTGTATTCAAATTGATTCACTCATTTGATATATTATAGTTCAATTGATCATCAAAAATGGGCAACACTTGATCAGTTTTCTTATTGATTTTCTCAGTGAATGAATCATGATGCCTAAAAAACTGTGGTCATTGCCATTCCACCATGCGTTTCTCCTTCCACAATTCTCCCTGTGGCACTGTGGCCAATTGAAATCTTAGGTCCCCTTATCTTATATCTTATCTATTTTTTGAGCTGGCTGTAGATGCTACTGTAGTTGGGTATTATATATATACATATATTTATGATGTTTTAATATGTATCATTAAAATGATATCTCCATGCGTGGTAAAGAGTCATCGTCAATCTCCCAATCCCAGCGACAGGATTCCGCCGAGTCTCTGGGAAAGGTCGAAGAGGGTGCAGAGGTATGGATTCTTCTCATCATTACCACCTGGCTAGGCGCAGCCAGTCGTCCCGACTGGTCCCGAGTCGAAAAAATCCGAGCCAGTCGTCCAAACGGTTTGGTCGCCGAGTTCCCATTAATGATGATCCCCAAAATATCAAGGGTAGTAAAAATTACCATCTGGTTATGACTAACAGTTCGCCATGGAAAATCACCATGTTATAGCTAGGTAAAGCATCTATTTCTATGGGCCATCTATACCATGGCTATGTTAAATAACCTGAGGGTAAATATCCTGATATATTATGATTGATCATCCCCAATACACCAGATTCCATATAATAACCAATCAACAGCAAGATTGAACACCGCTCAACTGGATAATCACCACGACTGCAACACCTTATTACCGGGTCATATACCGTTACGATCACACTTCATACTGAATGGTCACAAGTGGACGTTTCCAGGGTTGTGAGCTAGCTACCCAGTGCTACCCAAATCTCAGCTGTGAGACTTTTTTTTCATGTTTGTTTATTCTGGATGAACATCCAGGTAGTACCCTCTGGTTATGTAACAGTTCGCCATGGTTTTTCGATGGCCCATAGAAATAGATGGTTCACCTAGCTATAAAATGGTGATTTTCTATGGCGAACTGTTAGTCACAACCAGATGGTGACTGCTGCATGGATGATGAGTCTGGTGTGCGGCTGCCATCCCAACACATAGCTCGCCCTAGCCGCGTCAAACCAACGTGCCGATGGACTTGCTGGGCTTCCCCTAGTCTCCGACTTCCAAATGGATTCCACTTGCGCTAACTCAAATGGAAGTCGAATAAAAAGAAGTGCTTGGTATGAATGGAAAATTACCATTATTATGATAATTATCATAGGATTATTATTGTTGTTATGACACTGGTTTGATTCTATAATGGGTTGTTATGACAACATACATAATTATTATTAATCTCGCATTATAGAAATATCATTACTATCCACTACTATTAAGACTGCTTGGTATGAAGGGATCGGTTCATTCGGAAGAATGTTACAGAAATACAACAATCATCTGGAAAATATGGTTAATATATGGTTAATATATGGTTAATATATGGTTATATAATATATGGTTAATATATGGTTAATATATGGTTAATATATTGCCATGGACATTTTTACAATCAGACAGTTGTGTTTCGTATGGGAAAAACGGCCAGCACTTGTCACATTGTGCAGCTGCTTGGCGATTATGTTTGTCAAGGCGATGAACGTGAAACCCTCACGATATCATAATGTCCTGCTTGGTGGTTGGTACGCCTACCCCTCTGAAAAATGATGGAGTGAGTAACAGTTGGGATGATTTTCCATTCCCAACTGAATGGAATAATATATAAAATTCCATGGTTCCAGTCACCACCAAAACGTTGTCTCCACGATTATGGTTCATCATGGTTAATTTAACGGGGCCTACCATGGGGGTCGCCATGGTGGATTCATGGTGATTCTCTTATGTGAAAGTAAAAAAAACGCGTCCCTGGTTTTTCAGAGTCTTCCATCAACGTAAAGTTTAAAGAGGCTGGGGATTTCATTCGTGCAAATGGCCCAAGTGAGTAAATGTGAGGCAGCAGGAAAACGTTACCGCAGTTTTGATGGTTCAAACCCTTGAGAGCCCTGGGCCTGCGCCCATGACCACGGACACATCGGGCATCGTAAAGGAGATATTCTGCGCATTGCTAAAGTCCTTTTTTGGACGAGTGGCGCTGGTGATGCAGTAGTGTGTTGACCATCAAAATTGGAAGTATACCCTCTGGTAAACTAACATAACTATGGAAAATCACCATGTTTAATGGGTAAATCAACGAATTAAATGGCCATTTTCAATAGTTATGTAACAATTTACCAGAGGGTAGTTGCTGTACCCTCTAGTGCTAAACATGTTTGGCAAATCCATGGTTTCTAGCGAAGCTTTCGCCTGGGAACATCATCGGTTTCTAGCAATGGTGGATTTTCCAATGTTTGATGACCGGAGGGTAACCATCCAGACAGGAATCTCCTGCGAGTTCACAATGCCAGGCTATCAGAGTTGGAGGCCTTGCATGTCTCCTTCTACAAATTAAGCAATAGGAGAAAGTGACCAGCAAACATGAAAATTTCATGCAAAAAAAAGGGGATGAAAAGCAATCATGACCAACAAACCAACACAGTTTTATGTTTTTCTTTGGCATTGTGTTAATCACATTTTTTTTTCGAGGAAAAACACTGATGAACAAAAATGACCACTTTGTCTAGATATAGCCCAATTTGTGCCAAAAAAAGGGCACTGCACAGTGCACATCCCGATCATCCCGATCTTGTTGCTCCATGGGTCTATACATTTACCCATGCGCGGTCCAACACAAAAAAAACTCAGCTGTTAAGGAAGAAGACCTGATACGTAGCGAAGGAATTGATGACTGGGAGGAACGAACATAAATTTCAAGCCTATCTTAGATACCTTGCCTTGCATTGTTTTGGGGGATGATTATGTATATTATCTGGATAAATTATAAGTATTCACCCACCTGACTATAGCTACTATAGCTAAAATGTTAGGCCATTCAGGGAGCTTTTTTGCCTGAATCCTCACCATTCCAGTGATGTCACGACGTGGCTATCATTTTCTATCTATCCACAGTATTCACAGCGCGCGTAAATTGCAAAGAAAATATCATATATAAATAGATATTGATATATATTAACCATATAATTAACCATAGATATTAACCATATAATTAACCATAGATATTAACCATAGATATTAACCATAGATATTAACCATAGATATTAACCATAGATATTAACCATAGATATTAACCATAAAGTAACCAGCCAGCCATACTGTGAATATCTGTGAATCATAATTTCCCATGATATTCCCATCAAAAGCTCCACGAAATTCGTGGAGTTTCCCACTTCTTGTCCCATGATATTCACATTAAAACATATGGAAACCAAGATCTACCCGGGTTTGGATTGAAACATATATAAACATCATCTTGGGTGCCACTTTCTGCCGGTTCCATGTTCACTTGAAGTACCTGGAAATTCATCTGAATATCATATAATAAATCATATACATATAATATATTTAATCCTGACAATGCCACTTTCATTAATTAGATATAGAAATTGATAGAACATGATAGAACACATAAAATCAACCAAACTTAAATACAATAAAATAACATCAAGAATCATCAAGATCACATTAGAATTGTCTCAGATCTAGTCTATATGGCCATAGATTTATCAAATAGATTCAAATACATCCGGTCCTCCATGGTGGTGGGACCAGAAATCAGATTCGCGTGGAATTGGCCTGAAAAATGTCCCCAACGTGGAAAGGATATGCCGTTTTTTCTGGCGGTGAATTGGAGGGAAATGCTGTAGAAAACTGAGAAAAACATGGTTTTTTTTCCCGGAAGATTGAAGGGAAAATTCATGTGACTATAGATAGTAATGGTTGGGAAATCCATTGATTCACCATGGGATTTTGTCAGGGAAATCTCTACGACACCTCCCATGTCGGAGGTTGGTAGCAGAAAACTCGCAACGAAAACACCAAATTTTTTTGCGCATGGTCTGACCAAATGGTACCGTCCAAATATGTGGTTTCTATTGGTTTCTTGCAAAACAAAAATTGGATAATTTTGGAATAATTACAGTACGTAGTTTCTATTTATTGCACTGTAACAGGTCTTCACAGGCTAATGGGTAAACTACATGGCCTCTCTGCAATAATTGGGTCGAAAAATGTAGAAAGTATTCACTCTGAGAATTCATATGTTTATCCATGACATCGAATATCTGGCCGGTGGCGTCAGCCAATCCCGGGAAAGAAAACCAATCACTCGGCATCAATTGAACCCATCAAGATATCAAGTAGATGCGGGTTGTTGATAACTCAATGACTCAATTTTTCTACTCTGGTGACCAGCAGCCCTAACACAATGTCACAAATGAATGGTCATGGCATGTCATTGCTATCTGCAATCTACAATTTCCTTAGGTTTAATATGGTTTAATGTTTTTGGATGAATTTATGAAATCATGACTGTTTACTTGCAAACCCGATGTGTCAAGCAGTTTTGCTGGTCATATTGTCAAATACTCATGCGTCATGTTGGTTGACCCCAGGTCTTAGTTATATCCATGTTCTGCTGGTTAAACGGTGAATCTGCCGGTTAAATCAATTTCAATCACCATGCGCAGAGGCTAACATTTGTGCAAACTCAATGGTTTTTTCGTTCTTCTTGTTGAATCACCCCAAATTTCGCCCATGGTTCACGCCTCGTGAAGTGTGGTGGTAGAAATCATGGCTGTCTCCCAAGGCCTTAGATTCTGCCAGGATCGTAGCCCAAGTTCATTGGTTGATTTTTAATGTTGATTTTCATTTACTGCAAAAAAAAAACACCATAAATTAGATCATTCCGGTTGTAGAAGATGGAGTTTTGGGGTTCCAATTAGTTATTGAATGTTTTTGAAGGATTTTGATGATAAATATAATGGTATGCTAACCAGGAATTTGGGATGTGTTCACTATCTAGTTGCCCACCGCCAGGTGAGGGTCACTAGATTTTATCAGAGTTGCTTCCGCCTCCTCCTCCTTCCTCCTTCTCCTCCGGAAGCCCCGGACTACGCCCTCAACTGCAAGCGCCAGACTGCCGGACCTCAACCATGAGCTCCACATGTCAGTGGGCGTTGCCGGACCTCAATTACGAGCTCCAGATCTCAGTGGGCACAGCCAGACCTCAACCGCGAGCGCCGGATCTCAGTGGGCACTGCCAGGCCCCAACTGCGAGGGCCAGATTCAGATGTAAGTGGGCACTGCCGAACCTCAGCCTCAGCCAGACGCCAGCGAGAATGTCAGATAGAATGCCAGCAAGAATGTCAGAATAGATGCCAGAAAGTATGTCAGATAGAATGTCAGGATAAATATTGCATATACATATATATATATATATAATATATAATATATATATAATATATATATATAATATATATAATATATATAATATATATATATATAATATATATATTATATATAATATATATATATATATGTAATATAATATATATATATATATTATATATATATAATATATATATATAATATAATATATATATAATATATATAATATATAATACATATATATATAATATATATAATATAGATATAATATAGATATAATATATATATACTTCCAGATGGTATGTCAGAAACTATAGTATTGTCAGATAGAATGTCAAAAAAAGTGTTCCAGGATGGCGATCACTCCAAGAAAGTAATTCGTCTGCTTTCCCACTGTTCAAAAATATAAGCAGTGTTCAAAATCCCTCTGTCATTCCATTTAATCCTGGTTGTTTTTTTGGGGGGGATTCCTGTATTGATTTTTGTTTAATCCCCAATGTATTGGGCAGTATAATCCCCTAACTAATCATCAATCAACCATCATTTATCAGTTATATTCACTAATATTCCCATATGTTCAGGGTCAAAATCCTATTTGAATTACTATGATCATCAACCAAGAGGGGTTTAGCAGCCACTGCTCACATGGTTGAACCGTTGAACCATCATTCACCGTTTTTTTTCCATAATGAGATGACGAAATTGATGCGAGGTGCCCAATGCATGAAACGGCTAATGTCTTCCACTGGATACCTGGCGCGGATCCAGCTGAGTTGTGAAAAAACGGGATTCCCCCTTCATGGATTCTGATCATCACCAATATTAAGTGGTTATAGATAGTTATAGTTATACTGGTTGGTGGTTTGAACCCCTCTGAAAAATATGAAAGTCCGTCAGTTGGGACTATTATTGCCAATATATGGAAAAATAAAACATGTTTGAAACCACCAACCAGTATAGTATCCTCGAAAAAAACCTGTACTCATCGAGCAACCAGGGTTGCTAAAAACACTGCTCAATTGACTTTGAACACTGTCAAAATTTATCTAGAAATGACCGAAACCACCATTTGTGAATCCATCTGCGGTTTCAAGTCGTCAACTCCCATTCGATAAAACCAGCTGCGTCGGATGATCCAAGTAGGAGGAATCTGTGGCTAGGTTTCTGCATCCCTCTGGGTTCTCCAACTGACCATTTCACGATTTCACATATGAAAACCATATCTGGTGCTGTCCGAAAGAAGAATTCACCAGCACATCCTTTAAATGGTGGCATCTTGGTTTTCTAAAAAAAATGTTATAGCTTTACTGGTTGGTGGTGCAATAACCATCTTGAAAAATATGAGTTCGTCAATGGGAAGGATGACATCCCATATATGAAATGGAAAATAACCCAGTCATGTTTGAAACCACCAACCGGTGATTGATATAGTTGAAATAGTCCGTGATTCTGCACATTCTTAGTTTGGGACTCAGGTGCAAAAATTGGCTGAAGGTCTCGTGTCCCTTTCCCATAGAGATTTCATGACAAACTGATGCTCAAATTCTGCTGGCATCAGTAAGCCAAGGCCAAAAAAAAACATGTTCCATGATCCCAAATTCTTCTGTGATCTTTACGTTCGGCGTCTGTGTTACCCTCTGGTTATGACTAACATAGCCATGGTATAGATGGCCCATAGAAATAGATGGTTTACCTATTAAAAATGGTGATTTTCCATGGCTATGTTAGTCATAACCAGATGGTAAATCCTGATTGCTTCACAATTTTCCTTGGGGTTCATACAAGATTGTGCAGGCGCAAAGGCACATGTTCAGTCAAAATGCTTGATCGTAACACTGGCATACACTAACTGTAATTTTTCGATTCGCCTATCGCTCAAGTTTACGTAGTCAACTTAGACTGGTTGGTGGTTGAGCCACCCCTCTGAAAAATATGAAAATCAGTTGCGATGATTATTCCCAATATATGGAAAAATGAAATTCATGTTCCAAACCACCAACCAGTAGAGTTTTGCCAAGGGTTTGTCATGGGGTACCCCAAAATGTCGTCGTGGCTCATTTTTCCTGTCGTCAACATGACCAGAACTTAGAGGTGTACAACCCATTGACACACCCAAATATCTGCCGGTTGTAAGTCCCATTCATTTTCCAGATCCCATTATACCCCCATTCCTCCATTACATCTGTATGGCAATTTAACATACTTATGGTATAGATGGCCCGTTGAAATACATGATTACCTATTTACAACGGTGATTTTCCTGTTCGCTATGTTAAATGACCAAAGGGTACATCCCTATTGTACATCCATGTCGATCAAAATGTATCCCATTAAATGGTACCTCATTTATATCCCATTATAATCCCCCATTGATATTCCATGATATTCCCATGATAATGTCATATATTATCATATTATATCCCTATTCTACCACCATTTTTTGGAGGGTAAAATTCCATGTCGGTGTATCCATTGCAAATCCCCCATAGGGGCCTCTCTCCTGCGGCACAGGAGCTCCTGATGTTGGGATTCAAGGAATAGTTTGGAATGGGTTCTCTAGTGGACCAATAATCATGAAACCTGTCGTTCGTAGTGGCCAATAATTGGGGGATGTTTTTAGCCAACAGTAGTGAAATGTTCATAATGGATGGGAAATTCAGAAAGCTTCAAGATTACTCCTGTTTTTTAGGTTGATACATACTATATATCAATGGATTGGTTTAAGGGAAAATCTACAGGAAACCATGGTTTTTACCATCAAATATAGGGCTTTCCTGTAAAGATTCCCATCATCCAGTTCTATGAATATAGGACTTGTGAATTGCATCGAAAGCTATCGAAAGCTTGTTGATTCATCGAAGTTAATGGATTAATGAACAAATCATATAACTAACCATGATGTTAAATGATAATATCCTGGTTGGTGATATACCTACCCCTCTGAAAAATATGAAAGTCAGTTGGGATGATTATTCTCAATATATGGAAAAACAAATCATGTTCCAAACCACCAACCAATATCATTGGGGGAGGCCTTGTGGATAGAAGTTTTCTTGTCCCATAGGAAAACCCCCGGCTCGACTCATAGACCCGTCGACTTTTGAGGATTATCCTTCAGGGCACCCTGAAAAATGTACATCAAAACACCTTTTGGACAACTCCCAGGGCTGTACCCTCTGGTAAACATACAAAAAGCTATTGAAAATGGCCATTTAAATTGAAATAGTTGATTTACCCATCAAAAATGGTGATTTTCCATAGTTATGTGTGACAGTTTACCAGAGGGTAACATGTTGGAAAGCATCCTTGGGCCCCACTCAACTTTTTTTCATCGGAAAAAGAACATGTTGGGCCCCAATGAGAACGGCTTTCGTGGCTTGTTGATGCCATGGGAAAATTATAGACTTTGGTAGGATAAAAATAAAACATGAGCTGTGCGTGGCTACATCCATGGCCAATCTTAAATACCCTGCCCAAAAAAAAATTAGCTGGTGAACGTAGATAATCCCATTGATAGCAACAGATTAAAGGACTATGTCTTACCCATCTAAGATTCACCTAGCATCCATCCATCAATCCATCTTGCGTTTCCCCAATGATGGTGTTTGCTATTGGTGGTTTTTCCCGGCAAGATTTGGGTCCCCAACTGGATTGAGAAGCCACAAGTCCCGATGTGCTAAATCCTAAGATATACCCTCTGGTAATTTAACATAACATAGCTATAGAAAATCACTATTTTAAATAGGTAAACCATCTATAAATGGGCCATTTTCCATAGCTATGTAACAAATTACCAGAGAATACAGTTGGTGATCAATAATGATCGAATTCACATCTTTGATCCGCTCGCCAAAAACCAATGTAAAAATGGCCATCCATGGGAACCCACACATCATCACCATGCTCCAAAAAACTGGCTACACCATCTAATTTTCATCCAATCGTTGGCAAAAAATATATATATATATATCCCATGAAATCCCCATTGATATCCCATTGACATTCCATTCAATGCCTGTCTGTTTTAATAGTTTTCCCTTGTGTTCATTATATCCCCATGAATATCCCCATTAATTCGTGAGTATGGTTGGCTATATGTCCCATCATATTCCTATAAACTTCCTGTTGAAATCCCATTAAACCTCGATTTCTATTGCTTAAAACCCCAAAAACATCCCCATGAATACCCCATTCATATTCCATCAAATCCCTACTTCTTCATAGGTTTTCTATATTTGTCCAAGGTTGTCCCATATGTTTACCATGTTTTCCAAGATTTTCACATAGTTTTCCCCTATTTTTTTCTAGGGTTCTCAGCCCTTAATTTGCCGAGCATCCGTGGGATCGCCACACCCCAGGCGATGTTGCCATTCTCCTGGCAATCCTATGTTTTTTTAGGATATATGTTATAGGGAGTATATGTTAATCATATGATTTTTTCGATATTATAAGGATTAAATTTGATCATCACAATATGTGTTTTTTTCGTGATTTGGCGACTATTTGATTAATAATAGTTGATTATATGTTGATCCTATGATTATAAGGATATATGTTATAGGGATTATATGTTAATCATATGATTATAAGGATTATTTGATCAATAATATGTTGTTTTCGTGATTTGGCGACCATTTGATTAATAATAGTTGATTATATGTTGATCCTATGTTTTTTAGGATATATGTTACTATAATCCTATGATGATATGTTGATTATAAGATAAACATATATAAACTATAATCAAGAGGATTACTAATGATAGGATTATGTTATAACTAGTCATTTTTGAATGGCTGGGTTTAAGTTTTTTTACCGGAAACCATCGATTATCCCATTAAATATTAAATATGGGGCTTTCGTGTAAATTGTCCCTTAAACAAATCCATTGAATAATACCATTCTTATGACAATTACCATAGGATTATTATTGTTGTTATGACAATGGTTTGTTTCTATAATGATTGTTATGACACTATACATACTATTAATAGCATTGTATAAATATCATTACTATCCACTATTAGTCATACTAGCTTTACTATGTTTATTAAACCATATTTACTATCAATATAACTGATCAACTATAACAGAACTTTAGAAATCCTTGTTTTGATCAATAGGATACATTATTTGGGTGGAATCCTATTATATTATCTATTGTTCATCAATATGTTTTATCAAAATATCATTGTCACTGTCACAGCATCATTCGAAACGGAGAAGCTGTGAATATGGATTATTCATCAATGTTTGAACCCATAAGTAATTGAACATATCTTTGTCTCAGTTAAAATAGGGATTATCTTATATTGATGAATCAGACCATATTGATATTGCATACATTCGTATGTATCTATATATATGTGTGTGATCAATTGTGATCATACATATATATATATATACAATGTATACTGTATCACATTGGAGTTTGATAGTTATCTTTCCATCTCGTTCTCTGGGAGATACTGAATCAGCGAGCTTTCTTCGCGTCGATTTTCTTCGGGAAGTCGGGAGTTTCTCTGGAAAGTTGAAGGTCATGGCTGAAAAACACGGCTTTTTGTATGTTTACCAGAGGGTACACGCCTCAAAATCTAACATGAGGATACATGTTAGTCACCTTCACATCTATCATTCGTGAACGTTTCCTACATTTTCCAGATTCAGTGTAGCATAACCATCAACAATATCAGCTCTAAAATGACCCTGGCTACACTCCTTTTGCCCCCATGTTGTATCACCCATTGCCAGCCAAACGAAAAAACCCAAGTTCTGTGTGTCGTCGTCTTGGCTTCAAATCAGAAGTTTCGGTTGCGGCGTCCTCGCTGGCGAAAATCAAAGCAATTTCCTGGCGTCGCGTCCCGGTGCCGTTGGTTTGTCAACATGGCCCTGGATACTTGGTTTAATTACTGGTTAATGATGGTTAATGGTGGTTAATGATGGTTAATGGTGGTTAATGATGGTGATTAATGATGAAATGGTTTCTTTTCTTACTGGTGCGTTTTACGCAGGGAATTTTCGGGAATGATCCCAGTCATCACTAGTAACAATCATCCCAGCAACCCCCAGCAACCCATCCATTCCCTACGTTCAGCACCAGTAAGTCTTTAGGGTACAACCAACAAAGAAGGCACATTAAAAAAACAAAAGACATGATATCACTAAACTCTAACTCTAAAGTATGCTAAACTCAGATCTTATCATTCACATCCCCGCATCTATGATAGTTAAGACTCAGACTTCATAAACCACCCATAGTTGATGATTATCGTATTCCTCCTCATGATTGAGGGTGAAATCCGGCTTCCATTGTTTTTAGCTTTCGCACCTGGGCTGGCTGCAGCTCTGGAGTGACGTAGTCTGTGGAATAGCCTGGGCCGCTTGTCTCTGGTTGGGAAGTCACCTGGAAAGTACCTGTAACAAGGGGCACCACCAATTGAAAATCCACCATTTTATGCATGATTCTCTAATTCAAACCTCCATTGATAGTGGGGATTTTCCAGCCAGCCATGTTTGATTGGTGGGGGTACTGAAACCACCAGGTTTGATGACTAAAACATGGTGAAACTTGCAGATTTCATCATTTTTCTAGGGGCAGAAACCTGTCCGTGTTTGAAAAAAAAACATGTCCAAAAGAACACATTTGGTCTTGTATCCCCATTTCATGGTATATCCCCATTATATTCCCATTAAATCCCCTTAAAATTCTGTTACATTCCCATTAAATCCCATTAAAATCCCATTAAAATCCCATTAAAAGTCCATTACATTCCCAATCCCATTAAAATTCCATTAAGTCCCATTAAAGTTCCATTCTATTCCTATTAACCCATTAAAGATCCATTCTATTCCCACTAATTCCCATTAAATCCCATTAAATTTCCATTAAATCCCATTAAAGTTCCATTCTATTCCCATTAACCCATTAAAGTTTCATTCTATTCCCACTAATTCCCATTAAAATTCCATTATAAATTATATTCCCATTGAATCCCATTAAAATTCCATTATATTCCCATTATATTCCCATTAAAATTCCCATAAACTCCTCCAGGTTTCAATCTCCAGGTCCCATTTCGGCCGAGTTGCGTTCCTCCGCCACAAAGGCATTGTTGACCTTGCGAACCACAAACCTGAAGGGACGGACTTTCCAAAAATGGTCCAGTTACGGATGATTTACCTCCAGGTACCCATGAAAAAAATTGTTTAACCCATGAAAAAATGTGTTTTAATAGTTTTATTCACATTATATACATAATGTTAAGTATTCATAACAGTTGTGGCACTTTACCAGTGATATTTTGTGGCTATATTTGGGGTTATCATTCAATAAATGGCAAAGGGCCATGTCTGAATAATCCAGCAATTTCAGATTTTTCATTTTCTGCCACAAAAAATACCAACAATAATATATTGAAAGAATCTTATATAACCCAGAGACAACGGAATTACAGAGTATAATTAACAAAACAATGTAAGCAATAGCTGCAAACAAAATTTGATTTGACCAGCTGAAAAAGTTGATTGTTACATCACTACCAAACATGGTAATCAACATAAATCAACCAGCAAATATCAAACAATTTCGGGGATACAACTGAATTACCAACAGTACTGGGGGTCGGTTCTATAATATAACGAGAGACGAGCGACAGTTAGTATGTTTATAATGAATAGCAACAAATATGTTAATACATCTCTATGGTGTTGTCATGAGGAAACATAGACATGGTGTTTCTAGCAACAAACAACTCTGGAGTTAGTTGACAATACTTGCAAGGATATCAACCCATCATAACTATGGATATCTATGGATATCCACCACCAACATCCGTAAAACCATAGTTCATAGGGTCCCGCCCAGAGTACGCCTTATTGAAAAGATTCAATATAGTTATTGAAATTTGATGCATATATTGAAATGAAGGGTTTATTGAAAAATACAATATAGATATTGAAATTTATTTCAACAGAGATAACATCAAATTTCAATATACCATATTGAAAAAAACAACAATATCATGTTGAAATTGATGTTGAAACATGTTTCAACATATGTGGAAAATGCTGTTTCAATAAGGTGAAATGGCTGTTCTCAATCTGTTGCAAATTGGCTGAGTTTCAAACTGCTTTCTTTTCAAATGGCCATGCAACAAACAGTGGCAGCAGAAGTTGGTCTCCCTGGAACCTAGCTTTTTGGCCCAGGCTCCTGAGTCGCCTTTTTTTTAAGCCTTGAAAAAGGGCAGTGCCTTGAAAAGGGCATTGCCTTGAAGAAGGGCCATGGAGGAAGAGCAAAACACTGATGAAGCACAGCTGGATGTTTTAGACATGCTGATGAGACCCCCTTTTCCTGGGACCATGCAAGAGGCCATGGCCTACTGGGAGTACTTGGACTGCCAGACTGTGTCCTGTGATGCCTGGCTGTGGAGGAGGAACCTGGGCAAACCAGACTGGGGGATTAGGTGCTGGAAATGTGGAAGGGAATGGAGAAACACCTTCCAAAGAAGTGGGTCCTATTTTAAATATTGGAACCCAATAGACAAATGTCCAGCTAGGTGAAAAAAATCTGGACTCACTGAAAAATGGGTTGCCTTGAAAAAGGGCATTGAAATTGCCTTGAAAAGGGGCTGTGAAATTGCCTTGAAAAGGGCATAGATTGGAGACAGCAGCTGAAAAAGGGTAGAAAAGCTAGCAAGCTGACATGTAAGAACAGTGTGGCATTGAAACACAGCACTGAGCAGGGCAATTGGTGTGCAGCGTCAGGCTGTTTCCCTTGCATTTCCCTTGCAGTACAGGCTCAAGCTGAAAGCTTTGCTTCATTTTTTGTTTTGCTGCAAAGGACCAAGTCTTGAAGAAAGGCAAAGCTCTGTAGAAGGGCATGGTCCTGATGAAGCCAGTCAAGAAAAAAAGTGGTTCAGGAAATCCACAACCCAAGCGGAGAAAAAGTTTTCCTGAAGTTGACCAAAATGCTTTAGATGATGCCTTGGACAGTCACATCAGGCAGGTTGGTGTGAAAGAAGCATTGAACCTGATGGACTACAGGCATCTCCAGCCACAGCAAGCTGAAATCCCCAGGGCCATTTTCAAACTGCACCCTCTCATTAAGGCTTTGGTGCAAGTCAGCCCCAGTGCAGAAATCAAGTACAGGAATTTGAAACACAGTCTGACAGTGGCTGTCCACAAGTTTGGAGCTGAACTCTTGAACCAGTATTGGGAGGTGGAAGCATCTTTGCTACCTGGGAGGGCTGCTGACAGCATACTTGTCCTCCTTAAACACTGGAGGAGGGTGACAGCCAGTCCAACAAGTTGGGAAAGGTTTGGCACCAAGCTTGACACAGCACAGCTCCAAGTGCTCACTGGGTTATACAAGAAGACTGGGAAAACAAATTTTTGTGTGGCATAAGGCACCAGGAAGCTGAAGAAAGAGGTGTCAGATGTTACAATTGGATCTGATGGCTGGCCTGCAATGTTGGCCACCTCTTCTGCATCAGAAACAGAGGCTGGTTCTGATGATGAAGCTCCTGAAGGCCCTGAGGCTTCTGAAGCTTCTGCTGCACCCAGCAACTCTTTGCTTGGGAGCCCACCTCCTGTGACCAAAGCCAAGTGGAGGGAAAAGGCTGGCAAGCCTGTGAAGAAAAGGCCTGCTGGGAAAACAAATGAAAAGAATGACAATTGCCAAAAAAAAACAGCAGCAAAGAAAGACAAAGCAGCAAAAGTGAAAAAGAATCCAATGGGCACAGGCTTGGGGCCAGAGACACCAATTTCTCAGGAGACCCTGAGCATAGGTGGTGGCAAGAACCAGTCCTACATACAACACATGCCTTTGGGCCCCAACACTGACAAGAAGCTTGTGGTCAGTGTGTCCTTGGCCCAAGCCACCAAGCTCAAGGTGTCCCACAAGCAGCTGGTGGAGGAGCTCTTGCCTGCTTGCAAAGAGGCTGGTGCCACCAAGGGCTCAGTGTTGGCTGCCAGGCTGAAATTGTTTGAAAAATATGAAAAGGCATGATGTGGATGGCCTTGCAAAGGGCTGTAGCCTTGAAAAAAGGCAGTAGCCTTGCAAAAGGGCTGTGCAAGCACACACACCACAGCCTTGCACAAAGGCAAAGCCTTGTATAAGGGCTGTGCAAGCATAGACCAAAGCTTTGCACAAGCTGTAACTACTGTACATACAGCAACACCATTCTTCCTGCATACATGGAAGGAAAAAAGGTTTTGCAGCACATGGCCAGGTACTGCTGCCAACCCAAGAACAACATGTTGTGTAAGCAATGCCAAGTGCAACCTAAACAATGCTGCATGACCTGTTTCACTTTTAGGCTCAAGCTACTAAAGCTGTAAGTTTTTCTCTTTCCCTTGACTTAAGGGCACTCTGCTCTGAAGAAGGGCCAAGCCTTGTGGAAGGGCTGTGGATGGTTTCATCACCTTCCTCACCTGACTATAGCAGGCCTTCACCACCTAGGTCGCCAAAAAGGAGCAGAAGCAAGAGCAAAAACCAGGCCATGCCAATGCCCAAGGACAGCTGGAGCGATGATGGGGGGTGGGAAACAGGATGGAGAGATGGGTGGGAAGACTGGGAAGAGTGGGACACCTGTGGTGGTGAAGAAAAAGGATGGAGGGATAGAGGGTGGAGGGATGAGAAATGGAGGGATGAAGAATGGAGGAGTGAGAGGTGGAGAGGGAGGAGGGATGAAAATGGCAAGAGCCTGACCTCAGGCAGTGCCATGCAGAGACAGAGGCTGGCAGCTGTGAGGGAGGTCCAAGGCCAGCCCAAGAATGAACTGGAGGACCAAGTGCAGAGGCTCTCTGCTATGGGCCAGTCCAGGTTCAAGAGGATGCTGAATAGGAAAGAAAAACAAGAAAAGGCTGAGAAGGAGAAGCAGGAGGCATGGCAGCAAGGGGCCCACTGGATGCAGTGCCAGCAGTGGCAACAATGGCAACAGCCACAGCAATGGCAACAGCCACAGCAGTGGGTACAGCCACAGCAGTGGGTACAGCCACACCAGTGGCCAGCTCAGTGGCAAACACAAGGCTGGAATTTGATTCATGTTGTTTCTGGTTTTAATTTTGAATGCACCATATATTTTTTGCCTGGTTGCAGGTGGCTATGGGTATGGTGCCAGCACTGCAGCTGGATCTCAAGCTTCAAACCCCAAAGGCCTGGCAATGATACTGTGCAATGTTCAGCCAGGTCATTTTTGTCCTGGCAGGTGCATGCCAGTCCCACAGATCTGCACCAGCTCCTGCAGGACTGCATGTTTTTTCATTTTGCATTTTTTTTATTCAAACCCATGTTGTTCAATATACTTCCCATGGCTGCTTTGGCCAGGACCAGCCAATGCTCACAAAAAAGGCCTTGGGAAAGGGCAAAAAGGCCTTGAGAAAGGGCAGCAGGAAGAAGAAAGCAGCACAAGCAGCAGCAACTCTGACCAGTCCAGCCCATCTACAGATGGAGAAAAAGGAAAAGGTGCCCCAAAGGGTGCCAGACCCAAGGCAAAGGGAAAAGGTGGAGCTAAGGCTGCACCAGAGGTGAAAAAGGAGGTGGACCAGGGCAATGGTGACTGGGTTCAAGTGGTGAAAAAAGGAAATAGAAGAAAAAAATAGCACTGAGGAAGTGCCAAAGCCCTGAGGAAGGGCCAAAGCCCTGAGGAAGGGCCAAAGCCTTGGGAAAGGGCAAACAAAAAGCCTTGAAAAATGGCATGCCTTTTTTTGAAAAGGGTTCTAAAGGAACTTTAGACCACCACCTGCACTTTGAGCAGTGGAGAAAAAAGGTGTGACTTGAAGCTTGGGCCCAGGGTCTGGCATCTAAAACACAGGAGTAGCACACTCATCCTTGAATAAAAAATCATTGGGCAACCCCCAAAAAAAATCATGAGCAATCCATGCATGGCTGCAAAAAAAAATCATTGGGCTGTTCAATCTGGAATCATTTTTTGGAAAAAAAAATGTAGTCAAATAAAATTGAAACATGCCCCAAAATGACCACAAAAAGGGTGATCCATCATATTGCATCATATGATGTCATATGATGGGTGGGGCCATCATATGATGGGTTGTGGCCATCATATGATGGGTTGTGGCCATCATATGATGGGTTGTGGCCATCATATGATGGGTGGTGCCATCATATTGCATCATATGATGTCATATGATGGGTAGCTGTTTTTCTGGGTAGATTTGATTGGTGTTCATTTTTGAAAAATCTGTAGCTTTCAAAAGCTCAAGGTTGACACCTGCAATTTGATTTTGCCTTGCAGAAGGGCAAAGGCAATGGGAAAGGCAATCAAGGCCATGAAGGTGGCAAAAAAAACAAAGCAAACAGAGACCAGCCCTGCACAAGGGCAAAGCCCTGCAAAAGGGCAAAGCCTTGCAAAAGGGCAAAGCCTTGCAAAAGGGCCAGGCATTTTGAAAAGGCCCAGTTCCATTTTGAAATTGCCAAAAAATGATGCAGACCTGAGCCTGGAAGAAAAGATGGAGGCCTTCCAAAAGAAAGCCAATGGAAATGTCCAGACTTTCCTTGACAGCCTCACCCAAGGCCAGAGAGAAGCCCTTTGGGGTCGCTTTAGCAGGGCAAGGGATGCCCTGAAGGACACCAAAGCCACAGAGCTGTGGAACACCCACTGTAAGGGAAAAGGGAGTGAAGAGAAAAAAAAACAGCTGCTGGCTGTGTTTTTGAAGAACAGGGGTGACCTGAAGAAGGCTGGCATCTACCAGAAAGAGTTGGTTGCCTTGACTGAAGTTTCAGGCAGCTTGGCTGGCAGAACCCAAGTTTCAATGGGTGTTCTGGCTGCAACCTCATTCCTGCTGCTTGTCACTTGTGAATGTGTTTCTCTGAGGCAGCAGGGAAACAGAGGAATGGGTGCCATTCCAAGCCATTTTGACAAGGTTTGGATTACAGGAGGCCATGAGGAGAGCACCCTGGCAGCAATATGCATTGTATGCATTGCACATCTTGCAATCAATCCTTTGACTTTGAATGCCCACCTTTGCTGGCATATGGTGAGGTGAACAGGGGGTCCATCAGGGTCAGGAAAGACCCAAAGGACCAACAAGAGTGGCAGTTCTGCCTGGAGACAGCAGTTGTCTTCAGTGACAAGCAGTCCAAGCATGAGATGAACATGGAGGCTGCCACCAAACTGGAAGCCATCCAATGGATGGAAGCCAGAAAGGCTGGCACCATGTTGGGCCCTGAGGAAGGGCTGGCAGCAAATGCCTTGAATGATGTCCTCCCCACCAGTGCCAAAAAAAAGGCTAAAGAGCTTGCAGCTATCAAAGACAAAGAGTCAGATGAAGAAGGTGATGCAGAAGATGAGGAAGAAGATAGCAAAAAAAAATACTCAATGCAGCTGCAAAGGAAGCTGACCTCCTGTCAGACATGGGGGGTAGCAAAAGCAAAGACCTCACAGCCAAGAGAATCTTGAAGATGCTCAAACTGGTCAAGCAACTTAATGCTGACCTTGCAAAGGGCAGCTCAGGGAGTAAGGCAGCAAAGCACCAGAAAGATTTGCAAAGTTGCCAAGTTGAGTTGCAAAAACTTAGCAAACAGGGGCAGAAGGTCAAGCTGGAAGTTGCCAAGGACACACTCTTTGAAGCAGCACTGGCTGTAAAGAGAGCAGAAAAGGCTGTGGAAAAGAAATGAACCCTGAAAGAAAGCAAAGGCCTTGAAGAAGGGCAAAGGCCTTGCAAAAGGGCTATGCTTTGAAAAAAACACTTTGGACAGCACAGAAACTGTTTTGCTTGAGAAGTTGGGAAAAAAACGCTTTCATGCTAAGTGTGAGGAAGGGTTACATAACCAAACCAGGCAAGACTGCTCCTGTGGCACTCAAATCAGTTTTCCCCTGGTGTTTTAAAGCTGTTTGGCTCAACTCTTCTGAATGGTTGGC